CAAGAATGGATCAATGGATTGGAGGACCAAAAAACTTTGGGTGGAGTCAAAGAATCCTTGGAGGGGTATTTTGAGGGTCCAGGTGATCTGAACGTCTCAGAAGTCTAAAGCCAGGACCTTTGGGACATTCAGAGTGATGGCAGTGAGGGCAAGGGACACAGACAATGAGGTGTGATGTGACAGACATATAGTAGCAATGGACAGAAGGAAGGATCAAAGAGTAGTCTCAGATGACTAGAGATCAAAGTTGAGTCTGGGATGTTTGGAGAGCAATAGTAATACTGGCATTAATGGACACTAGGAATAATGAACAGGAGCTGGTTTAAGGAGGAAGCTAATAGTCATTTAGAACCTGAAATCTTCTAGTCCAGGATTCACAATCTGCTAACGAAGAAACTGAGGTCCAAAAAAGTCGGATAATGTGTATTAGTTATCTGGTGCTGTTATTCAGAACTACCACAAATGGATAACTTCCACGTACAGAAATTGATCCTCTCACAGAGTAAGTATGAGGCTAGAAGTCCAAATTCAAAGCATCTACTTCAGAGATATGCACACGATACAACCCTGATCGCTGAAAGTGAAGAGGACTTGAAACATTTACTTATGAAGATCAAAGAGCACAGCCTTCGATATGGATTACATCTCAATGTCAAGAAAACTAAAGTCCTCACCAGTGGTCTAATAAAACAACATTCTTATCAATGGAGAAAAGATTGAAGTTGTCAAGGACTTCATTCTTCTTGGATCAACTATCAACACTCGCAGAAGTAGCAGTCAAGAGATCAGACGACGTATTGCACTGGGCAAATCTGCTGCACAGGAACTTTTTAAAGTGTTGAAGAGCAGAGATGTCAGCTTGAGGACTAGGGTGCACCTGACCCAGGCCATTGTGTTTTCAATAGCCTCATATGGATGCGAAAGCTGGACGGTGAATAAGGAAGATCATAGAAGAATTGATGCCTTTGAGTTGTGGTGTTGGAGGAGAATACTGAAAGTGCCATGGACTGCCAAAAGAACCAATAGATCTGTTTTGGAAGAAGTGCAGCCAGAGTGCTCTTTGGAGGCCAGGATGGCTAAGCTTCATCTCTCCTACTTTGGACATATTGTCCGGAGGAAGCAATCGTTGGAGAAGGATGTCATGCTGAGGGTAAGGTGGAGGGTCAGAGAAAAAGAGGAAGACCCCCAACGAGATGGATCAGCCAGATGGCATCATTGATGGACTCAAGTGTGGCAGTGGTAGTGAGGTTGGCCCAGGATCAGACATTGTTTCGTTCTGCTGTGCATGGGGTCGCTATGAGTCGGTTCCAACTCGATGGCACCTGACAACAACCTGACAACTTCAGAGAAAGTGTCTTGGCATCAATTTTCCTCTGGGTCTACGAGTGTCACAGTGCAGGGACCCCAGGGCCAAAGGACACGCTCCACTCCAGGATCTTCTTTCTTGGTGGCGGAGGGTCAGTCCACTCTCTGCTCACTTGTCTCTCCTGTCATAGCTAAAAGAGACTGACTCAAGACACAACCTGATCCTGCAGATTACATCCAACCTCATTAACATCATAGAAGTGAGAATTTAAAGCACATTGGATGATTACATCAGCTTACATCATGGGGTTGATTGTATGATATTATCTTTTATCATGGACGTGATGTTATTGTTGTTGTTATGTGCCGTGAAGTCGGTTCCGACTCAAAGCGACCCTGTCCAAGGTTTCCGAGGCTGTAAATCTTTACGGGAGCAGAAAGCCTCATCTTTCTCCCGCGGAACTGCTAGTAGTTTCCAACTGCTGACCCTGAGGTTAGCAGCCCGATTCGTAACCACTACGCTCTGATAACTACATCTTAATTGCAAAATCACAGAGAACCTCAAACCAAATTGACACAAAACTTTTAACTCTCACAATGTGGTGGATCTGAGACCTGGCACTAAAATGAATCAGAAGACTGAACCTTCAGACCTTGTTTAATTATCTTTCTGCTCCAGTTTTTAAAACCACAGGTTTTAACTGAACTTTATTTTTTAAATCTTTAAAAAAAAAACAAAAACACTATCATAGTGATCCTATAGAACAGAATAGAACTGCTCTGTAGAATTTCCAAAGCAGAGTCGCTATAAGTTATAAACTACTCAAAGGCACTTAACAACAACAACAACAACAAATCTTTCTGGAAGCAGATTGTCACATCTTTCTCCGAGGAGCGACAGGTGGGTTGAAACTGCCAACCTTTTGTTTAGCAGCTGAATGCTATAACCACAACACCACCAGGGCTCCTTCAATCATTTAGTATAGTTGTTTTTTTTCCCCAGAAAGAATGTGTTCTGATAGTTTTCAATTTAACAGAATCAAAAAAAGATTGACAGTACATTTTCATATTCAAAACCACATTGTAATTTCAATGCAAAAGACAATGCAAAAATAGTCTTGTGAAACAAGTTAATGAGTAACAATGCCACCAGCATATAGTCAGTTAAATCAGAGTAGAGAAGGAAGAGAACCAAAATAGCATAATGCCATAGAAGACAGAAATTCAAGACGAGAAGGTGGAATGTGGCAGAAAAGTCAAAGATGAGAGCATCTAAAGTGAAAAGAATTGAATTTGTGACCTTCAAGAGAGCAGTTTCAACAATGATGGGCCAGGTTCCAAACTGAGTGCAATTAAGGAGGTGAGGAGGCTACAGTGGTACATTTGGAGAAATTTGAGGGAAAAGAGAAGAAGCATGGGCAATTGGGCAGCAATTTCTTTGGCATAACGGATGTTGAACATTGCAGGGAGAAAAGAAACAAACACTGTGAGATGCAATCAGAGACAGACAGGAAAGGTGAATCTAGGGCCACACTTGGTAAGTTGGAGGATGAGAGTTTGCTTTTGTGTCCTGGTAAAAGGGGAAAAGATAACTATGGAAGCAACATTCTGAGCTGATGAGCTATGGAGATAAAGAAGGTTAGAAGAAAGTGAAATACAGACATGTAACACAGGGATAGAAAAGAAACAGAGAGAGACGGACAGCTCCTATAAGAAATTGTTGTTATGGTTATCAACTTAGTTCCAACTCATAGTGACCCTGTACAGGGTTTCCAAGAAGCAGCTGGTAGGTTTGAACTGCTGACCTTGTGGTTCACAGTCCATTGTTTATCCTACAATGCCATACCAAGAGAGTCAACTTCTTGCTTTGAGATTCTTTAATCTGGTAAGAACCTGCACTATCATCTGTCCAAACAAGTCAGGCTTTCTCCACTCTGCAAAGATGTACCAAACAGTCCAGCCTGGGACTGAACAGAAATGACTTTGGGAGCTTCTGATGGCCTAGGGATGCTATCACTTGTTTTGTTGGGCCTCAACTTTACATCCCAATTCTAATTGTACAATTCAGGATCTTCCCTGATCGTGGCAAGACTCCCAAATATTTCAGAAGAAACAAGGAGTTAAAATGCTCTGAATATTTTGAAGGAAGAGCTAAGTAGGCTTACAGAAAGGGTTTTTATTCTCATGACTGCTGTTATTCACAAAAGCCTGCACAGCAGACCCTGGAGTAGTGCTTCCTCAAATGATTTGCAGGAGCATCTGCAGATTTGATGAAGAATCGGATGCCGCCAAAGTGCAAGCCAGTGATGACTCACTGCAAACTGTTGTTGTTGTTGAGTGTTTGCTGAGTACAGCAGCCCTTTCTGGCATGGTTGCTCTGAGCCCAGGACCAGAAGCCAGGCTGTGCGGGGAGAGACACAGCAGGGAGAGGCTCTTGTTTTTGGCATGTCCCTTGGTTCTACCTTCTGTTCTTGGCTTCCTGCTCTTCTCTCAGTGCCTAAAGCCTTCTCAAGGACATGTTTTAAGAAGCTGCTGAGCCAGACACACATTTCCTTATTATCTTGGGGTTTGTCCAGGGAAAATCATAGGTATGAAAGCAATGGAGAATGTTGCTGTTGTTTGCTACGATTGAGCCCTCACCCCCTACTCATGGCAATTCCATGCACAAAGGAAGGAAATGTTATGTGGTCCTGCACCACACCCACGATTGGTTGCAGATCAGACCATTATGATCCATAGAGTTTTCATTGGCTGATTTTCAGAAGTGGATCACCTGACCAGGCATTTCTTCCACAATGAGGACTGAACCCTGACCATTTTCTTTTCCAGGCTTTTCTTATTGTCTGAACTGCAAAACTCAGAAATACTCACATCCCTCAATGCACAAGAGAAAAATCAAGATACCACAGATTTGTTCTTGCCAGCATGTTTTCATCTACATCCATCTTCCTCTTAACTAGAACTCTAGGATACTGACCAACACCCATTCCTGCCCTATAAGAGAGAATAGAACTGCCCCCATAGGGTTTCCAACACTGTAAATGTTTACGGAAAAGCCAGCCTCATCTTTCTCCCAAGGGTTTGAACTGCTGATCTTGAGTTTAGCAGCCTTGTGCTTAACCCAATGCACCACCAGAGCTCCTTACACTAACCTAGTTCCTGACCATTAGAGCTGTTGTTAAGTGTCATCAGGTTGTTTCCAAGTCACAGCGACCCTGTGTAGGGTTTCCTGGTGGGTTTGAACTGCTGACCTTGTGGTTTGCAGTCCAGTGCGGAGCCTACAGCACCACACCAGGAGTCTGTCAATTAGCGCTAAGACCCTTGAATGGGCCTGGACTGAGGCAGAGACGTCTGCCCTGACCTGTGCTTCCAATCCTTACACTCTATCACCCTCCTTTCTTCCCACATTTATACCACATCATAGTATATTGAAAAGCCTTCCCTGAGTCTGTGCCCCACCAAGTCCTAACATGTAGCCCTGGGCATTTTCTTTCTTATATCCTGTCCCCTGTTCCTTGTGCGTCTCATTTTCTCACCTTTCTGGCCTTGTCAACCCTGCCTCATCACTTCCCCCGCTTCCTATTGCTTCCTTCCATTTCTCTCACCTGCCTTCTCCCCAATGTTTTTTCCTTCTCACCCTCCTCTCTGTCCGTTGGCTTCTTGCCACCAACCTTCTCCTTTTTGTCTTTTCTCAGCCAGTTAGCTATGATGTCTTCAAGCTGTTCATGAGAGCATACTTGAAGGTGGACCTTCCTCAGCCACTGAGCACACACCTCTTTCTGGCCTTCAGCCAAAAGCCCAGACAAGACACCCCTGGCCATCCAAGGGAAGGGACCAGCAACAGTGAGGTCAATGGCCCAGGTACGTAGACCAACTTCTCCCAAGATAGAGGGGAATTCTGCAGCTCTGACCCCCTTGCCGCAAGCAGGGGTTGCATTCCTAAAGGACTCCTAAGCATGGTAACTCTCCTTGCTTTAGGGATGGGACTGGAGATCAAGAACTAGGACTTCTTTCTCACAGGTTCTGATGAATCTCTCATTAAAAAGAATACAGACAAATAGTCTCTGCCACTGCACATCATAGGGTAAAGTGGAGGGAGGGGAGGCATCGCTAAGGAATGGTAGAGAGAAGAGAGCCTTCATCAAAGGTGGGAGGTCCATGAATGAAGCATATTCATCTCATGTTCCCAGGCTAGAATAGGCCTGGGAGTGTCAGAGGAAGGGCTAACCACAATCAGTGTCTTCCTAGAACTTGGACTATAGTGGGAAGACATATGAGTATGAATCCAACCAACAGGAACCCAGCAATACAGATACAACTAAGTGACTTAGAGTCTATGGGAATATCTTCTACCTACTGCATTAAGGAGTAGAGGACATGGGCTGGTCTTTAAATCTTCTTTTTGTTCCCCAGATTCCAGTATACAGAGTGCAGATAATGCTTCCAAAGCAGATGAAGCCTGTGCCCCTGATATGGGTAAGTCTTGAATACCAGGCTTCAATGGGCCTGCATCCTTGGAGAAAAGTAGGCATGCCTCACCAGCACTTTGGTCTCCTTTGATAAGATCTTGTCCTTCTGAGGCCTTCAGAGCCTTGGGTTCCCTGCCACATTTGTGCTCTGGGATTCTGAGACTGAGTGAAGGTTCTTGCTTCATGCTTCCTGGAATGGGGCAGGACAGGAGTCAGAACAACTGTGAGATGCTTACCTTGAATTCATGGGTCTGCCTGCTAGAGAGGGGAGCCTCCTCAGGAAGAAGTTTGGAGGGGTGGGTGAAGTATGGATGTAAAGAGAGTGAGTATTGGTGTGTTTGTGTTTGTATGTAGGGATGTAGGTGAGAGATCAGTGTGTGTTTAGAGATGGCTACATATGACTCATTCAGTGGGTGACTGGAGAGCAGGAGGGCAAGAAGGAAGACCATGCTGAGTTTGACTTCTGACAGCATACATATGCACCACTTTGAATGAGGTGGGAGGAGAAGCAAGAAGTCAGCTAAAACTGTTGTTAAAATCTCTTATTTGTCAGGTACCTGCTTTTTACATCTTTCACTTATCCTTCACAAATTGTGCCACTTTCCAAAGGAGGAAATAAGGTTTTAAGAGATTATACACTGTTAGTGTGACCTTCCTTAAGATAACAGCCTGAAAGCCCTCATGGAGCCAAGGATTCCATCAACAGTTGTCCAACCTCAAAGCTCTTGCTCTCTTCCTACACTGAAAAGAAGCAATGGTCTCTTTTAAGCGACCTCATGGTTCATCTTCTTGTAAAGACACCAGTTTGGTTAGTTCAGGATGGGATGATAAAGTCTACACTCTGATGGGACTGGGTTTGACTCCCAGCTTTATCATTATCTTCTCTGTAACCTTAGGCATGTTTGAACAATGCCTCTGTGCCTCCATTTCCTCATCTGTAAAATGGGATGCTAATAATATCTTAACATTAATGTGAAAGTTAAGTGAGCTATGTGTGTAAAATGCTTAGAATAGTGCCTTGCACATAGTACATGCTCAATAAATATTATGAAGAATTATTCAGACCACTCTCCAGAAGAATGATCTATTCTTAACTTACCATGGTCTTTCAAGATCTCCTTCAGGGCCCTTTGCACCCTCAGGCTCCAAGTGTGTCCATTGAGCATCAAAGGATATTTATGAACTCTCTTTCTCCCAAATTTCTCCTGAAACCTCAGATACAAAGACTTAGAGAGTCAGATCTTTGTTCCTGTGTATTGTCATTGCCTTGGATAGATTTACGCACAAGTAATTGACATTTTACTGCGTAAGACCCCAAATTTTCTAGGCAGGTTTTTTTTTTTTTATTATGACTTTAGTTTCTGTCATATCAAGAAAAGATTTACTGGTGATGTTCTCATATCATAATGTGGTATTTGAGAAAAGATAAAGATCATTTTAGTAGAAGCCGGTTAACTAGCTAGCTGATCACCATGCTTATTCCAGAACCTATGTGGTTCTGGAGGTAAGAAACTCAGACTCCCTCCTGGAGAAGTGATCTGTGATACACCGTTTCCTTTTCTGTGGGGACAGGTACTCCCTTGTGGTCAAATCATGAAAGGTCAGTTATCCAATTGCCATAGGAACCACGGAGAGGGCTGACAGTCAGTTGGCACAGGAAGGTGTGTAGCATCTCTTCAGCTTCTTTTGTGGTTTGAGATTTAAAGGAAAGCAAACAAACCCTTCTCCTGTAAGGCAGGAGTGGGGAACATTTTTTCTCCCAAAATTTGTAACATCATTTGTGGGCCACACAAAATTATCAACTTAAAAATTAGCCTATATATTTGGTCAAACATTTCATTACCTTACCCCTAATGTGATGGCTGGAACTACAGTTGCCTCAGCAGGGCCAGACCAAATGATTTTGCGGGCCTTATACGGCCCATGGGCTGGACATTCCCCACTCCTGCTGTAAGGCCACCCTTTAGGGATGTCTTAATCAAATACACTTGTTCATCAGAAACAAGCAAGTAGAGCCAGGCTAACACCACAGAAATGGCCCTCTGCCAGCCAGGAAGAGCTAAGTCCTGGAATCATAGATCAGGCCATCTGTTGGAAAATCCACCCCTTTTCTGTTGCCCAAATGAAAGGCCTCTGGAAGAAACGAGGTTCTCATTTGATCTGGCCCATTTAGAACCTATGAGATCATTCTCCAAGTTTAGATTTAACACAATCCCTTTCAAGTTTTCCACAGTGCTTCCACAGAGCCAGGTGGACACATGAGTATATCCATAATCACACAATCACAGCAGAGAGGGGCTTCCACAGAGTCCAAACATCAGCTCAGAACCCCAAGCAGTCTGTCACTGTCCGAATATCAGCACAAGCATGATTCAACCTGCCCTGAATACCCAGGACTAAATGGGATAAACAATGAAAACTTTAGTCTCTTTGTTTTCATGAGTTTCTCAGGCTGGAAAGATGAATCCTTCAATTGAATACGTGAAAGGAACTCTGCTTGTTACTCAGTGGGGATATTCTGAAGGCCTTCTCCTTTCTGTGCAGCTCTGCTTTGTGAAGTTTAGCCTCCTTGGGGTCCCCAGACTCCCTACACTCCCTCTCCTCAACTCAGAGAGACTCTCGGACTTTTCCTCAGTTCCCTCTGCCTGTTCTGCAGCTTAGAAACTCGTTTCAAACAGTATGATATATCAAATACAGAAAGTCACCTCAGTTGTCTCCCATCTCCTAGCAATCACTGTTTGGTGCTCCTACTGTTCAGTGTCTTGTGAACTGTTACCTCATGCCTTTTGTCCAGTTTTTCACTTGGTTCATTTTGGTGGGAGGAATCTGATCTCCGTTACTCCATTTCAGCTGAGTCACTATAATAGTGTCCTGCTGTTGTAGTTGTTAAGTGCCATGGAATCAGTTCTGACTCATAGCCACCCTGTTTGGTGTTTCCAAGGCTTAAAATCTTTGTGGGAGCAGAAAACCTCAACTTTCACCCCCAGAATGACTGGCAGATGTGACCCATGGACCTTTTGGTTCACAGTCCAGTGCTTATCGTATGGAGCCACCACACTAACCAAATTCTGAGAGTACAGAATAACTAGAGTGCCTGGGTGTTGCAAATGGTTAAGCTCCGGACTACTAACCAAAAAGGTTTATTGTTCAAATCCACCCAGAGGCATCTCAGAAGAAAGATATGGCAATCTGCTTCTGAAAGGTCACCCACAGCCTTGCAAACCCCATGGAGTACAAATGGGGTCACCATGTGCTAGAATCAACTTTGCAGCAACTGGGTTTTTCATTTCCTTGAGAGCAGTAATCTGAGGAATAATGGAGTGCCCAGTCCCAAGGACTTCTCATGTGTGTCTTTTACATCATTAATTTCTTTTGCCATAATTTTTCCTTCCAGGAGGATTTCAGTACTTCTGTTGCATGTGTTGTTTCATTGTAATCCTTCTCTATCTCAGTGACCCTATTTCTTCCTTCATCCCTATTGTATTTTCATTTCAACTTGTTTACCACTGAGGCTTCCCGCTCCTGTTTAATAGAGGTTAGATCTTCTAGCAGCCTATGAGGAGCTTATACCAGTAGGAAATTGCAGTCAAAGGCCTGTTCCTCTGAGATTGCAGGAGAAAGCTTCCTTCTTTCCTTATTCTTCACCTTTGTTTCATGGGCTTCATCATGGGTTGTCTGTTTTTTTTCAACAAAGTATGTTCCTGACACACTTTAGTCTTTAGTTGCTCCCACCATTCATCTATGTGAAAAGTAACTCCTTTCTTAGATCCATAGTCTAACCCCCAAGTCCTGGCAAGCTTTCATCCAACACTCTTCTGGTCTGAAATGGGTCGGTTGCATCCTCTGCTTGACTCTTAGGTAGTCTAACTAGAGAGCGTACTGCTAACTTTGCCTGGCCTAGCCAGCATTAGTATCAGGGCTGCCTCTATCTCTCCCTCTCTCACCAGCACTTTTACTTGTTAGCCTTAAAGCATCTAAGTTAGCTTTTCCACTACCAGTCATCCTTTTCCTCCCTGCTTAGTTGTTTTCTGTGAGTTTCACACCTTCATTGGATACGAAGAGATTATTTCTGAGGGATGTAGAGGTCAAGAGACTGAGAACAGGTAGAGAGCACTCAAAGTGCCTCAAAAAAGTAGAATTCACAAGAAAGTGAAAGTGTCCAGTTTTCTGTATAAACTTTGTAGAAATCCCTGGGCATAAATGGTTAAGCTTTCAGCCACCATCCTAAAGTTGTTGGTTAGAATCATCCCCAGAGGCAATTCATAAGAAATGCAATAACCTTCCAAAAGGTCACAGCCTTGAAAACCCTATGGAACACACATGCACACACATAGGGTTGCCCTGAGTGACAGTCACTTCTACAGAAACTTTATTTGTTTTTTTCAATTTGATAGACCTTATAAGGAGCTCTGGTAGCGTAGTGGTTAGAAATCGGTCTGCGAACTGCAAGGTCAGCAGTTCGAAACTACCAGCTGTTCCACAGGAGAAAGATGAGGCTTTCTGCTCCTGTAAACATTTACAGCCTCGGAAACCCTGTACAGGGTCTCTATGGGTCATAACCGACTCTATGGCACTTAACTACAACAACATATTTCTGAACAGACTCCTGGTGTGGTGCTGTAGGATCAGCATTGGACTGCGAACAACAAGGTCGGCAGGTCAAACCCACCAGATGCTTCTTGGAAACCCTATACAGTGTTGCTATGAGTCAGAACCAACTCGACGGTACTTAACAACAACATATTTTTAAACATGAAGACAAAAAGTGTAGAAAAGATAGCTTTCTACCTGCAAGAAGAAAGATTTTAAGTGGAAAACTTACTCTCCCACTGTGGCCTGACAAGCCACTTTCTGCATGTGTTGAAGTCTAATTGATTGGTCTTGCAGCTAGGCAAAATTCTTCCACATTTCTGGAAATTAATTGATTATCAATCCAAGTTTTCTGCTTTGAACATTCATATTTTTATTCATCTTTAAATGTGTTTGAGAAGTTCTGTGAGAGTATATCATGAACTGTTGTTCATTTATCATTTTGAAACCCCAGCCAAGATTACTTACACAAATTGGATGTGTTCCAAAAGCAGACCAAATGACATTGACTATTGGTATTACTAAAAATCACTGTCAGACTTTCTGAAAATTCACAGATACAGGTGAATTTCCTACAAGGAAATAGACTCTTAAAATGGTTATATACCGGTCCATTTAGATAGTATGAATTCCACAAACTGGATCTCTAAAACCACTGATTTGATCATCTCTAGGTCACCAAAGCTGTTGCAGACACCCGTATAAAATTCAAAACTCAATCATGAAGAAGCCGGGGCAACAAAGGAGGTTTAATGTTTACCAAACAACAAGTGTCCTTGGATGCTGTCCTTTGTCTATCACAGAATCAAAGGTCACCGAGAAGCAAGTACCAGCTAAAGACCAAGTGGCCACGACCTCTCTGGGAATCCCTGCTGTTCAGTCTCCAGACTCAGAGCCCCCAACAGTGTACCTGAAGGATGTTGTGTGTTACCTGTCCCTGCTGGAGACTGGGAAACCTCAGGATAAACTCGAATGTAAGTACTTGCCCTATTAAGAGGCTTATCCATTTCCCTGTAGGAAGATCTAGTGTCCTGGTCGCCATTCCTAAACATGCTGTAGACAGATCTAGCATCAGGGGTGTGTCTCCTTGGGGGAAGTTTTCCAGTTCTGTCACCAGCAGTAGTATAAGCAGCATTTCCTAGAACCCATCCTGGGACACAGTACCAGCCTGAATAGAATGGTTAGGACATCTGAGACCTTGGTATTGAGAACACCTTGGGTCTCTTCAAGGGTCAAGACCTTTGCTAGCAGGACTTCCTGAAAGCCTCCAATCCTACAATCTCTGTCTCCTCTCAGATTTTTCCAAAGACATTCCTTCCCCTACTCCAGGCTCAAGCAATTCTGATTATAAGGAATTCATTTTTCTTGACATCTAAAAGAGCCCTAGAGTCCTGGTGTGGTGTTGCGGGTTAATGCACTGGACTGCGATGTCCGTTTGAACCGAAAGGTCAGTGGTTCTATCTCACCACCTACTCCTTAGAAACCCTGTACAGGGTCACTATGAGTCAGAACCAACTCAAGGGCGCTTAACAACAACAACAAAAGGAGTGCTGGTAGCACATTGTGGTAAGTGTTGTCTGCTAATCACAAGATCAGCAACTCAAACCCACCACTATTCTGCACGAGAAAGATGAGGCTGTCTGCTCCTTTAAAAACGTACAGTTTCAGAAACCCTAAGGAGCAGTTCTACTCTGTTCTTTAGGGTCAGAATCAATTCAGTGAGAGAGGATGTGGAGTTTAATTAACCTCTATCTTGCTAAAGTCTATTCCCATGTTTCCACTCTACTACTAGCCCAAGGTCTTTAAGTTCTAGAGAAAGGACTAGTTAATTTATTAAGGGAGCTTAGCTTGGTTTCATGGTGCTACTAAAGTCAGTTTCAAAAAAACCTATCTTCAGAGGAAGAGCAATTGCTGGTGACAGAAAGGAAAGTCCGAGGTAGCTGAAAACAGACAGCAATCTCATAAACAACTCCCTCTAGTCATGGGCTAGCTGGCCTCTCTCAGTCCACAGGCTGACTTCTAAAGTAGGTGATGACATGGCCTTTTAAAAGAAGATGCATTGTCTTCTTTCCTTGGGAACTTAAATCGACATTAATGAAAAGCATACACATTGTGGCAAAGGCGAGGTTTTTCAGTAACTAGTCTGCAAAACATAAACATTAGCAAGAAGAACCTGGCAAAGGTTAACTCTTGCCCCAAACACAAGGAAACCATTTTCTTAATAGCTGAGCTTAAAGTTTCGCCTGTAAATGTGAGGTGTTAACAGCAGTAAAGCTTTTTTAAATGGAATTAAAAGATGATGGAATTTTCCCAAGACCTTTTTGAACCCCTCTCATTATCTCTAAAATATACAGACTCTTTGTCTTAAATATAGCCACAGCATTATCATATCTTTAAAAATGGCTCCTTCCTATTATCAAATATTTAATGAGTCTGCACATTTTCTCAATTATCTTATATAGTTTTAATTGTTTTAGTTTGAATCTATACATTACTGTTGGTTACTGTGCTACTTCATACTTCAGTCTCTTAATCTACTGGTTACCCCTCTATTTTATGCTTACTTTTTTTTTATCTTACAGATTTTTGTTACAGAACCTTGACTGTGTGACCTATAGAGTTTTCATTGTGTTTCTTACTAAACTAAATCAATTCAAATCCCATCCTGATATTAACAATTGAAAAAGTTAGGATTTTCTCCTTAATAGCCAAAACTGTTCCTTTCTGGCAAGAATAGTCTAAAACCCTACCTGTTGCCAGTGCAAGAGCAATAGTAATAGCTCTCATCATTGAACACCTCATATGTGTTGAGCACTGGGCCTGCAACTGTTTCATTTTAACCTCACAGCAATCCTAGAAGGATGATACAATTATTCTCATTGGATGTGGAAAGAAGCAGAAACTCAGAAAGGTTCAATGACTTGCTCAAGGTCTCCATGCTAAAATATAGGATGCTAACCCAGGCCTTTCTAGTTCTGCTCTTCATTCAGAGAATGAAGGGACTAAGTCCACTAGATGAACTGAACCATTCCAAAGCCCGCTAAAGGGCAGGGTGCTTCTATGGACCAAAGAGAGCTCAGCGTTGTAGAGCTGCTGAGACCCAGAGTCGTGAAGCAGTGTTAATGGGCAAGGTCTGTCCTTCATCATGCAACCAAGTGAGGGCCTCTGACCTAAACATTCTGCAGAATTACAAAGCATCAAAAGATCATGATGCTTCCTTTGAATAACTTCTACTCCAACCAGGGGCGAAGAAATGAGGACACAAAGGCAGCTTAACCAGAAAAGCATGATCATGTGGGTATGTGCTGAGAAACCCACAATGGTTGCATCAAAGAAGGATCTTTCCGGGGGATCTTCAAAGAGAGGGCAGGCCTGATGAAGGGTTTTAAGGGCTAGGAGGAAAACAAAAAAATGTTTAGCTCTGCTCTCCTTCCAGTTCACAGACAGGAGTGCTGCCTTTTATTTGAACAAAATGCAGATTTCCAGTACCTTAAATAAACATTTTACCTTTTGCCCAAATTTCTCTCCCACACTTTCCTTATCCTACATCACCTCCCTGCATCTAGAACACAGTAGAGCAAGTTTCTGAATAGCATCTTGACATTTTATGAAAAGAGGCATAAAAACTCGACCACAAGGTCAGTTTGAACTTCCAAGTCTGTGGTTCAAACCCACCAGTCGCTCCTTGGAAACCCTATACAGGGTCGCTATGGGTTGGAACTGACTTCAAGGCACTGAATAACAACAATAATTACTTAAAAGAGTACCTTGCGCTATGAAATACTGTTTATATATTGAACGCTTTTTACATTCCAATCACTGTAGATGCAACCTGTTATTTACATATTAATCCTCACAGCAACCCTAAGAGAAAGAAACTATTATAATCTTCATTTTATAGATGGGGTAACTGAGTCTAAAGATATTAATGGCTTGTTTGACACCCAGAGGTGGTAAGAGGCAGGGCCAGGTTTTGAAGCCAGTCTGCCTACCTTTAAAGCTTTCCACATTCAGTAGAGACTGTACTACCCATCTGTACTTCTGGTGCCACTCGCGGTCATCCGTGGGCATTTGCTTTAAGTGTAGTCCAGTGAAACTAACAAGCATTCATGTTCTACAGCAACTCACACTCCTGACCTCGAGTTCTCCACCCACACAGTTATTGCTTAGATGGTCCTGATGGCTTGATTCTCCTCTTTCTTCCCACCACCTCTGTAAAGAACTCAGGCTCTGTACGTTGGAGGGTGAGTCAGCTGATGACCATAATGAGTCTAAGTACTTGGCAACATCAAAATCTCAGCTTGTCCCCTGGTTCTTGGAGGACACTACAAGTCTAACTTCCTCTGTGTTTCTTGCAGTCATGTTTCATCTCTATGATTCGGATGAGAATGGTCTCCTGGACCAAGCGGTAAGACTTCTCTCCAAATATCCCTCCTGGATCCAAGAAAGGCTGTGGGGAGGGAGAGGGAGCTGTTAGAAGTAAAATATGAAAATTCTCAGTTCCATCTTTATAGGAATAGAAATGTCCTGATAAAGGCTGCAGATAATCTGAAGAACTTCTCTGCTTTATGCTTCCAAAGAGCCAGCCTTGAGAAGAGTCACCTCAACTAGCGTTTTCATTCCAGAAGCCTGGGATCTTAAAATGTCAGAATGGGGAGATACTTTAGTATTTCACCTAGTTTACTTTCCCAGTCTGTTCAGAATTTCTCTTTGCAATTTCCTGCTGGACTCTAAGAGTAAGGGAGAAAAGGATAGGGGCGAGCAAGAGGATAAGAGGAAGAAGGTTACTTACTGCTGGTGCTCTTGGGCTTCCTCTCATGCCCCAGGGCACTAGGTCTAGGAGTCTGGCCTCTCTGTTCTGAATACAAGATCCCATCCCCTTTTCCCTAAGAACGCTTCTGCACCTCAAGAATAGATAGGGATAGGTCAGGATTGTGTAATATGAAGAAATACAGAAAGGAAGAAGGCAGAGAGGAGAAAAAAAATGAAACAGATAGACCCTGTCTCATGGCTGACAATTCTAGAAATGGGACTCACCAATAGAAAGACTTGAGGTTGAGGTAAATGGGGCTAAGGAAGGATGGACGAGAGCAAATCCAGTAGACGAACTGGACCAATCAGGGTCTTTAAAGGGAGAGTGCCTCTATGGAAATCTTACAGCTACATTGCAATGCTACAGGTTGGGTCATTCTAGGGAACAATCAGAGTATCATAGACTTTCATACATTTGGGTAACACATCCTTACTGTGTGTCAGGCACTATTCTAAATGCTGGGGTACATTGCTGCAGCCACTGAGAAAAATCCACACCCTTGTGAAGTTTTTATTTTCGTGCAAGCACAGATATAATTGCATAAATAAGTAAATGTGTGCTAGATAAAGATGTGTGCTAAAGGAAAATATAAAAGAGGAAAAGGAAGTGTTGGAGAGAGTAGCAGTTTTAACCAGGGGAGCCAAGGAAGAGCTGCCTGAGAAGTTGACATCTAAACTGAGGCTTGAAGGAATAAGGAAGTGAGTCTGGGAGTTACTAGGAGGAAAACCTTCTAGACAGAGGTAAAGCAAGTGCAAAGATCCTGAGGGGCTCCTGTTGTATGGGAGGATTGAGTGGGACACCAGTGTGACCGACAGAATGAATGAGCAGATGTGATGGGGTGACTGACAGGCAAGGGTGTCAAAGAAATAATGGGGCAAAACATAGAAGGCCCTATAGCTCTGGAGAAATAGGGAACCACTAGAGGTTTTGATCAGAGGAATGGCATGATAGACGTACGTGTGTTGAGACTAGACTGTAGGAACATGACCAGAGATACCAGTGAAGAGGCTGTCGAAACAACCAAAGTAACATGTGATGATAACTTGCACCAAAGTAGAAGTTTGGGAGATGATACAAAGTGATTAAATTCTGGATATATTTTAAAGGTAAGACTGGGAGAATGAAGCAAGGCTCAGAAGAGTTATCAAATTTAACATTGGTCCAGAATCCCTGGTAAATGGACTCACAGTCTCTTTTTGAACATTCCCAAGAATGGGGATCTTATCGATTCCCACGTGATTCATATGTGTAGAATTCAACTCAGTATATGTAGGGTGGAAACACAAATTCTCAACAGGGGGTCAAACTGGATTTAACCAGTTCAAAGCCCTGCCCAAAAACAATAGGATGACCAAAATTGGCCAACCCTCAACTCCTCCCTTCCCTCCATCCAATAGTATAGCTCTGCCCTCAGTATTTTACCAGGACAAATTAAATAACAGTTCTACACTATAGAACATCAAATGTTTGAAGGTACTTTCACATGTCCCCTAAAACATTCTCCAACTAAAATTCTCAGTTCCTACAGTTTCTTGTACTAAACATGTTTGTCAATGCTCTTCTTAGAGTATCGCACACAGAACTGAAGTCACTACTCTATGTCTCTGTAAACATTCAGATAGGCCCTGACAAAGGGAAACATAAGCAGAACTAGTTCTTCCTGAGATCTGCCTACTCTGCTTCTATTTACACAGCCCTGGTCTGGAGTCCCGGTGTGGCACTGCAGGTTAATGCACTGGACTTCAAAGCCGATTTGAACCTCAAGGTCAGCAGTTCAAGCTCACCAGCCATTCCTCAGAAACCCTGTACAGGGTCTCTATGAGTCTGAACCAACTCTTCAGCACTTAACACAAGAAGAGCAGATAAAGTCTAAAAGGAGCTCTGGTAACGCTGTAGGATAAGCACTGGACTGCTAACCAAAAGGTCAGCAATTCAAACCCACCAGTCACTTCATGGTAGAAAGATGAGGCTCTCTGCTACTGTAAAGATTTATAGCCTCAGAAACCCTAAACAAGGTTGCTAAATCAACTCAATGGGGAATCAGCTCAATGGTAGTGAGCTTAGTTTTAAGTTTGTGAGAACAAGTCTAATTCTTAACTCCTGAATCACATTGTATTCTCATTAAATCTTAGCCTGAACAAAGTTCACCAGCTTTTCCCACTGGAACTTCTACCAAGTGCCACCCTCTGTCTCTCTCATTCTTCCCACGTCTTTATCCTCCTCTATTGCTCTATTCTATAATTTCACGATGGATTTTTAAAATTTAAATGAAGTACTTTTTTTTAAATTCCTGTTGAAATTTACCTTGCTTATTCTGATCTGGCATTCATCCTATTAGAGGTAACAATTTTGAGCTCTTCCTCAGTCCACTAGTGTGTTACCAAAGCAATCTTGCTATAAACATCTTAAATGGTAACCAAGAGATGCTAGATTTGACACTAAATGTCTTCTAAGCTCACATATGTTCCACTGGGGCTCTCCCTGCACCGATAAACTGTTGTTGTTGTTTTCAGGTGCTGTCCAGTCGGTTCCAACTCATAGCAATCCCGTGTACAGCAAAATAAAACACTGCCCAGTCCTGCACCAGCCTCACAATTGTTAACATTTGAGCCCATTGCTGCTGCCATTGTCCCAGTTCATCTTGTTGAAGTCTTCCTCTTTTTCATTGCCCCTACAGTTTAACACGCATGATGTCTTTCTCCAGGGGTTGGCCCCTCCTGATAAAAGGTCCAAAGTATGAGAGACAAAGTCTCACCATCCTGGCTTCTAAGGAGCATTCTGGCTGATTGTTGTTGTTGTTAAATGCCATTGAGTTGGTTCCCACTCATTAGGATTTCTGAGAAGCAGCTAGTAGGTTTGAACCACTGGCCTTGCAGTTCAAACCAACTTTATGGTTCAGTGCTTATCTTGCAGTGCCACACCAGGCCTCTGGCATCCATTTATTCTCTGAGGTTTTATATGGATCCTGGCCTTGGACCAACAGCTCACTCATCAGGCAAACATACATTTCCTACTCATGGAATCCTGGAGCCAGAGCTGGACCATGTTCTGATTCATAAAGGCCCTGTACTATGTTTCCAAGGAGCAGCTGGTGGGTTTGAACTTCTGACCTTATGGTTCCCAGTCCAGTGCTGATCCTACAGTGCCACACCGGGAGTCCACCATAGGACAAAGGAAACAGGTGAGATCCAAATTAAATCTAAATTACAAACCTGAGCTAAGACCACTATGGGAGTATTGTGGCTCTGTAGGATAAACACTGGACTATGAACCACAAAGTCTGTGGTTTGAGTCTACCTCATGCTCCACAGGAGAAAGATGAGGCTTTCTGCTCCTGTAAAGGTTTATAGCTTCAGAAACCCTATATAGGGTCATGATAAGTGGATTGGATGGCACTTAACAACAACAGCAACAAAGACTAATACAGTAGTAGCCTTTCATCCAGCTGAAACTGGCTGGCAACTAAGAGATGTAAATGGATCCCCAAATTGCTAAAGCTGTGAGGATGAGGAGTGATAAGAAGTGGTTTGTATTTGTGGGAGATGCTGTAGGATCAGCACTGGACTGTGAACCACAAGATCAGCAGTTTAAACCCACCAGCTGCTCCTCAGAAACCTTATACAGGGTAACTATGAGTCGACCCTATACAGGGTAACTATGAGTTGGAACCGACTCAATGTCACTTAGCAATAACAATAAGCATAGTAAAAGAGAAATCAAGAGTGCATCTTTCTATATTTTCCTAGTTAAGGGACAGAATTAGGGCAAGGAGATCTCAGGCTTATCTGTGCTTTGTACTTCTTATGAGTGTCTCTCTCCACTGAGTTTTGTGGTCAAGGCAGAAGCAAAGGGAGTAGGAACAAATGGTGAATGCCTAGTAAAATGAAAATGTATGGTATCCAACTCTCACTCAGCCCTGTTTATCTTCCTACTGGCATTGGTTAAAACCACACCTTCATTTGGTTTCTCCCCCTATTATTTTCTAGGAGATGGAGCTCATTGTCAACCAGATGCTTCATGTTGCCCAGTACCTGGAGTGGGATCCCACGGAGCTAAGACCTGTGAGTTTTCAGAGCAAGGGGTAGTTTCCAAGTGAGCTTCCATAATGAGATTGGGGCATCTGCTGGACTTGGATGCCAGTGTTTACTATGCAGGCTCTCCCAAACTTATCTTCTTATGGGCAGCTTCTCTGAGGCCCTACTGCTTCACCTCCCGCTTCTTGGATAGGAAAAATTGTAGGCAGCAGGAAAAGTGTAGATGTAATGAGCTAAGAATTCCCCCTATTCTTTCCTACAGAGCTAAATTTTTACAACAGGGATTTTAGATCAAAGAAGTTAAAGATAGAGGGAATTTTAGAGATTTTCCTCAATCACCAGATAATACTAGTTACCATAATCACATATTGGGGCTCGTATGTGTCAGGTATTGTACTAGAAACTGTACATACATTTTCTCTAATCCTTACTATAGTATTGCAAATATAGCAACATTATTTTACATATGGACAAACCAGAACCTAGAGAGTTAGGTGACTTGCCCAAGGTCACACAGGCAAGTTGGTGCAGACTAAGGCCTGGACCCTTGGTTTCTGATTCTCAGTTTCCTCCCTCACTGTTCATAGTCTCTTGTTCACGCAAAATAAAAAGAGAAAGGGGCAAAACCCAAAACATAATGCAGGATGAAAGAGAAAACCAAGGTGGGCAGAAAAGTCAAAGGTGAAAACAGACATTTGTTGCTCTTTGGATTCCACAGATTTTGAAGGAGATGTTGCAAGGGATGGACTGTGACAAGGACGGCTTTGTGTCTCTAAAGGAATGGGTCCAAGGAGGGATGACTACCATTCCATTGCTGGTCCTCCTGGGTATGGACGACTCTGTAAGTCAGCAAGCTTGAGTTCAAAGATCTCTTGACTTGCAAAAGCTCCATGTGGAAGTCAGTGTCTACACATAGACTTGGCTTCTACTCCAGACTTCCCAATGAATATAGCATGTAGTCTAGACCAGCTGGAAATTCCTCTCTGTTGTTATTCCTTTTCACCTATTAGTGTCAAAACATATTCATTCATTCAACAGAAATTTACTAAATTATTACTAAATAAAAGTTACTGTTATAAGTGTTGTAACAGGGCACAAAGATTCAATATTTGCCCTCATGAAGCTTAAACTCAACAAGGACCAAAAAACTCAAGGAAGAATTCTATCTTTCCTACAAATTAGGCTTACAAATGCTAAGAGAGTTGGATATAGACAAGAAGGAGGGAGGAAAGAAAGAAGGAAGAAAGACTGGTCCTTGGTGGGAAGCTTTCATGATTGGTATCTTATTTGACAAAACAGCCAACTTTGCCTAACTCCAAAGATCCTACACTTTCTAATGCCCCATGCTTGGGAGTGAAGACCAACAGGGAGGAACCTTAGAAGGTATGGATTTCCTGAAGGACGTGTGGGATTTTGATTTCCTTTTCTTACGAATGAAGACCAGGTTGTAGGAGCCTGGGAGGATATTTCATCTGGCTCTCAAAGATGGACATGATTTGGCTAGTAGAAGATGACATAAGAGAGAGTTTGTAGCTTGATCAAAGGCCCAGAGGTCCAAAGGAAAGAAAATTCAGAGCATGTGAGAGAAATCTCTCCATTTAGTCAAAGAGAGGGTACGTGAAGAGATTAATGTGGAATCAGTGTTCAACATAGTCAGACGCAGCAGGTTCTGTTTATTTACCAAGTGGACTAGCCTCCATGCATGAGGTAAGAAGATTAACACTGGAAGCACAAATGGTGACATTAAGTAATTACCAGGACAGTCTCACAGATTGTGTGTGATAGCACCTCTTGGCGATTACTGAAATGTCACTGAGAGGAACAGAACAGGAAGGACAGCTGAGCTGACCTCTACCTGACTGCCGTTAATGTCTCCATCTGCAGTTCGGGACTAATGCTGAGCCTTCATTTCTAGCACTCAAAAACTAAGAATTCTGTGGTCATCTCCTAGTTCCTTCCAGCGCTGAATAGAAATCAAGCAACATGCACAACTCTCTTCTTGTTATTTGTTGTTGTTGCTGATGAGTATTGTCAAGTCAGTTCTGACGCATAGCGACCCTATGTAGTATTTCTGAAGAGCAGCTGGTGGGTTTGAACTGACGACCTCATGGTTCGCGGTCCAGTGCTGATCCACAGCACCACACCAATTTAGCTCTATAAAAAATCAGAGCTAGAAAAGACCTTTGAAATCCTCAGGTCCATCTCCTCAGCTTTATAAACTGAGGCTGAGAGAAGTAAAATACCTGAATACACATGCCTAGTTGGTAGCAGAGGCCACTCCCATACCCAGTAGTATCAGACACTTTATTCAATATACCAGCAAGTTACTGTGTATCCACAAAGGCTCAGACCTAAGGGTGCAAAGATAATTAAGATAGTTTCTTCTAACAGTACTCACTCAAGATTATACTTGGGTCAAAGATGGAAGTTCTGCTTGGGTGTTACTCCAAAATACCTTTTCTTTCTCTGAAGCATGCAAATAGAGATGGGACATTTTACTCACCAGTACCCAATTTCTATTTTCTCTACTGAAGACTAAAGTACCACTTTGCGTGGAGGGATCCTCTGTTCTATGGCTAGAGGTGGGAAAGCTAGTCCATTTCTTCAATATTTTCCCAAATGTGCCCAATCGACCTGGTGGCAAACCATCGCTCACACAAGAAGTTGCAAACAAAAATCGTGTGCAAATTTAGTTTTAATTAATCAAAAGCTTTGTGCATTTGTTTTAAGCATGCACTAAATTCTAAAATTTTAACATTTAATATGTTCTCTATTCAAGAAGTGGGAGATCAAGGGGTAGGACTCCAGGAAAACTGCCTGTCAGATGAGCCTGGGCGAGCATGCACTGTATTCCACAGCAAGTAGCCTTCAATGCTTTGAAGGTTCTATTACTTGCTTGCTTTTTTCAAAACCCACATCCAGCCACTGAAACTCTGGGGACCTCTGAATGTAATACACAGGAAGTCATTTATCTCTGTGTGATATTCTAACGGCGACACAAACCCCAAAACTCATAAGGAAGAACATGACTCCCACCTTCTATGCAGGGATGGGGAACGTCTGGCTCAAGGGCTGTGTGTTGTTGTCAAGTGTGGTAGAGTCCGTTCCAACTCATAGCAACCATGTATAGAGTTTCCGAGGAGTGGCTGGTGAGCTTGAACCACTAACCTTGCTCTTCAAACCGACCTTGCAGTCCAGCGCATTAACCCACAGCACCACACCAGGACTCCAGCGAGCTGTATAAGGCCCTTGAAACCATTTGGTTTGGTCTTGCCAAGGCAACCACGGTTCCAGCTGTCACATTGTTGTCATTGTTGTGAAGTGCCTTCAAATAGGGTCTGACTCATAGCAACCCTAAAAAGGGTTTCCAAGGAATGGCTGGTGAGTTTGAACCACTAACTTTGCGGTTCAAACAGAGCTTACATTGTTAAGTGTCATCGGGTGGTTTCCGACCCATAGCGAGGGTTTCCAAGGATCTGCTGGTGAGTTTGAGCTGCCAGCCTTGCAGTTCAAACCTACCTTGTGATCCAGTGCATTAACCCACATCGCCACACCAGGACTCCATGACACATTAGTGGTGGTGGTATGCCATGGAGTCGGTTCCAACTCAGTGCGACCATGACACATTAGAGGTGAGTTAATTCAATGTTGACCAAAAATTTTTAAGTAGATTGTTTTGAATGGCCCGCGAATGATATTATCAATTTTAGCAGTAAAAAAAGTTTCCCCACCCCTTTCTAAGTGGAGTCCTTGTGTTGCACTGTGGGTTTATGTGCTGGACTGAAAAGTTGGTTTGAACTGTAAAGGTCCGCTGTTCAAGTTCACCAACCAGTCCTAGGAAACCTTATACAAGGTCACTATGGGTGGGAACCGACTGCACAGCACTTAACAACAACCTGGTTCTATAGCCTCTAATGTGCAGAAATGAAAGAGCCACATGGTGGTGCTACAACCCAAGCAGACATTTCACTTTAGCCCAAGCCAAGACTCATGTGTTTCTCATCCTGTTTCTATGACAACAATAGCAGAGAAAGGAGGGGAGGGGTCAGCTAATTGCTTCCTTTAGCTAGTAGATGTATTTTCAGATAAAACAACAGTCCTTTGGGCTTTGTGAAGGGCTGGGTCTGCTGAAGACTGTTGCAATTTGCCTTCAGTCCAAGATAGTCCCTAAAGGAAAACCCTAGTTTCGGTGAAGAACATGGGTTCTGAGGTCAGCAAGGGACTTAGTTTAACTACTGGTTTATTCACTTACTGTGCTATTTACATAACTTGCTGAGTCTTTATTTCTAGAATAGGAGCAAATCTAATTCTTTACACATGAGAAAACACTCTTTAGTTATTTTTTTGTATTCCCTGTATCTGACATCAAGTAAGAGCTTAATTAATGTTTGCAATGTGCCAAGCACTGTATTCAGAGTTTACTTAATATTATTTCATGTAATTCTTGAAAAAAAATTTCCTGAGGTAGATGTTTGTTGATGGAATGAGCCAATGAGTTTTTTGATGAATCATTTAATCAGTAAGTGAGGCCAGTTACTAAAGTGGAGAGTATTTTTCGTTACCTCATATATATGCAAAATCTGGACAGTGGAAAGGACAGTTGGTGAATCAACACATGTAAATGATGGTGTTGGTGAAGACTATTGAACACACCATGGATGTCAGAAGAATAAACACATCTGTCTTGGAAGAAGTACAGTCACAATGCTCCTTAGAGCAAGGATGGTGAGACTTCATCTCAGATTCTTTAGGCATGTCATCAGGAAGGAGCAGTCCTTGGAGAAGGGCGTCCTGCATCATGCTTGGTAAAGTTAGAGGGTCAGTGAAAACGAGCAAGATCCTCAATGACAGCAACACTGAATTCAAGCATAGGAACAAGTGGAAGGATGGCACAGGACTGGCAGTATTTTGCTCTGTGAGTTGGAACTGACCAACAGCACCTAACAACAATAGATTAAAATGACTTCTATTTGGAAGAAGCAACTTTTGAGATAAAGGGAAGAAAAGAGCTTCACTGCGCCCAGAGGAGGAGACCAGCATTTGGAAAAGAACACGAGTTCCTCTAGAGACCTGCAGACGCATCTGGGCACAGAAATGTGTCTGCTGCCATGATCTGCCCAAGCACATAGTTGCTCAGAAGTAAAAACTAGACCCGAAGTCCTGCCTATTAAACTCTATGCACCTAACTGCCAACACTCCCCACCCTATTTAAAGTCATTTTTAGTGCCCTTAATACCAGCCAAGAAGGAGCCCTAGTAGCACAGTGGTTAAAGCACTCAACTGCTAACCTAAAGCTCGGCGCTTTGGATACACCAGCTACTCCCCAGGATCAAGATTTGGCAGTCTGCTTCTGTAAAGACTTACAGACTTAGGAGCCCTGTGGGGTAGTTGTACTGTGTCCTACAGGCTCACTATGAGCTGGAATCAACTTGATGACAGTGGGTTTGAAATACCAATCAAGAGGCTTACTCTTATGATGGAGCCTATGAGGAAGGTTCAGGGACAGCGTATGTGGGGAGGGATGTTCCTGAAACTACAGCCTCAGCCAAGCTGTGTTCCAGAGGCTGGAAGGCAGCAGGTTTGAGGTTCCACAGAAGATGTATGATTGCATGATGGTGGTAAGGATTATTCCGTGGTTAAGCCAAGTCAGGAGGAAATGTTGAACCCTCTGTGTCTTTATTGCTTTTCTGTTTTACCTGTGAGCAGATAATAGTGTGGGAAAGTGCTCATGGTATGGTGCTAATGGCCTGGAAAGTTATAAGTTGTTAGTGCCATGGAGTTGATTCTGATTCATAGTGACCCTTAGAGGGTTTCGGAGGCTGTAAATTCCTGCCTATCTTTATCCTGCAGAAAGTTGTTAAGAGGAGTACAGTATTTTTACTGTTTTCTCTTGATCATATGCATTCTGGAAAATCCAGAAGTAGAGATTAGGAAATAAAATACATCCTTAGTACTGCCAGCTATAGCCAAATCTCTGTTAATAGTTTGATGAAATTTCTTCCCATCAAAGATTTTACTATGTTAACTGAGATCATAATACTCAGTTTGTATTCTATTTTTTCACTTAGCATTGTATCTTGAGCATATTTCCATACCATTAGATATTTTTACAAATATCTTTTTGGCTGATGCCCAACATTAAATCATATGGATATATCACAATTAACCTTTTGGTAATTTTGAAACCTTTAGGATGTTTCCAGCTTTTTGTTATATTAAGTAATCCTAGGTTGAAGATCTGACAGAGCACAAAAATGCTAATGTGTCATTTAAAAATTATGACTGTAGGAAGGAGTCCAAGAAGGGAAACTTTTAAGTCAGAGTATAAACATTTAAAGGATCTTTAGATTACATTAGACTGATAGAAAGATAAAGGAAGGAAGGAAGGATGGATGGATGGATGGACAAACAGCAACATCTCCAGATTGTTTGCCAAAAAATTTGTTCTAATTTATACTTCCACCAGTTAACTCGTTGCTGTCAAATCAGTTCTGACTAAGAGTGAACCTTATAAGACACAGTAGAAGTGTCCCATAGGGTTTTCCGTAAATCTGTACAGAAGCCAACCACCGCATCTTCCTCCAGTGGAGCAGCTGGTGGATTTAAACCATAGTTCTTTCAGTTAGCAGCTGAGCGCTTCACTACCGCGCCACCAGGTCTCATTACCAGCTCTGTAGGAGAGAGCTTATTCTATCATCCCCAGTTCCCACTTTCCACTCAGATATTCCTAGTCTTTATTATTTGCTAATTTTGGAAAACACACAGAGAGAACTTTGTTTAAATCTGTATTTATTATAAGGGAGTCCTTAAAAACAGTACAGAGTATCTTGTCCTCCAACTATGAGAAGAGTTTTACCTAGCGCTCAGTGTGTCACCCCTTTTTGCCCCTGCAGAACTCCAAGGGGGATGGGAGGCATGCCTGGACCTTGAAGCATTTTAAGAAATTGACTTACTGCAACTTCTGCCACATCATGCTGATGGGCGTTCGGAAGCAAGGCCTGTGCTGCGTCTGTGAGTAAATGTCCTTCACACCCCACTCCCTCTGGGTGCTATCTGTGTCTGTTTTGCACATGGTTGAGCCATTCCAGAAAAAATTTAGCTGGAGAAGTCCCCCGTAGTGTTCCAGCAGTAGGGAGTAGAACACGACTTCCATGTCCTGTTTTTATTCTACCCACAGCAAATGGACAAGGATTAGCCTATTGATGGAGTTCTATCTGGGGACACGGCCGCCCTAGGAAAAGAAGCTACTAAGGGGCAATATATAATTAAAGTACATCTCGTACTGATTTTGGTTGAGTTTTGCTAGCAAACATTTATCTTTTTTTTTTTTTTTAATTAATAAGCAACATAAAACTATGTTCTGTAAATGCAATGAAAATTAAAATGATACATAAATTTTGTTTTAAGATCCACTTAGGAAAGTCAAAGGGAAGGGGAAAAACACACATATAAGTGTTTTTAAAAGGGGAGAAGAGAACAGATGAAAGAGAAGGGAGAAAGAAGGGGTGAGGAAGGAAAGAAGGTGGCTGTGGGGAGCAAGTGGAGAAGGACGCAGTGAGAAGGCTGTGCAGGGACCAGGCTCTGGGTGAAGAGAGTCCTGGCCACCACCTCATTATACAGACAGCAGACACTCAGCCTGAACCCACAAACACTCAGCTGCTGCTGCAAGGAGACTCCATGGATGCAGTTCAGGTCACCAAAGTGTCTCATTCAACATGCACATGTGAGCTAGCCAGCAAGTGACTTGAGCTACAAAAGTCTTCTTAGTGGAGCTGAGCCCAGTGTTTATCAAAAGCAAGCCTCAATAGCTTCAAAGCTATTGGTCTTTGCAGCATCCATTCAAATCCAGCTCTCACCCAACTCTTTATAGCCTAAATGCCATTCCTTTTAAGTTCTAGACTTGTGAACTACTGCTGTTTGCATAGTCATAAGCAGTAATGGTGGTGGTGGTTATGTGCCGAGGAGTCGGTTCCCACTCATAGCGACTCTGCATAGGGCTTCCAAGGCTGTACATCTTTACAGGAGCATAAAACCTCATCTTTCTCTCGCAGAATGGCTGGTAGTTTCAAACTGCTAACCTTGAGGCTAGCAACCCTACTTGTAACCACTATACTATCGGAGCTCCTTAAGCAATAGTAGTAATTGTTACTATTTGTAGAATAGCTACTCTGACGCAGATGCATGGTGTTTTGTATAAATTATTTCATTAAATCTTGCAAATTCCCTGCAAGAGAGGCACTTTCATTCCCACTTTACAGATGAAAGCGCTGATGCTCAGAGAAGTGAAGCAGTTGGCCCAAGAGCATATGGTTAGTTACAAACGGCAGAGACAGAACTCAGGCTAAGGCCTAACTCCAAAAATCTCTGCTCTTTCCATTCAGTGATTAGCATCCCTGACACGGAATCTGTGCCAGTCGATGGCCTGACCTCTAATCCTCCCCTTAAGTGACAGGCATCTTTGGCGCTCTTTCCTGCTTCATTCACTGCCCACAGTGGAAGGCAGTGTGATGTGGACTCAAGGGGGAGGGGGCAAAAGGATATTTGGGACATAACTGTGAACTATCTTCCCAGCGAACAACTAGAGATTGTGTTGGATTTCCTTCCATAAGTAAGGCTGTCTCCATAGGTCTCCTACCCCTGTCTGGCCACTAGGAGGGAGGCACGGGCCCTTGTTGAGTTGGGAGGTGGCTGGAATTTTCATAGATAAGCATACAAGCACTCTCCTCATTGTTGTTTTGGGGGTTTTTTGTTTGTTTTTTCTTTCAGATTGTAAATACACTGTCCACGAACGCTGTGTATCCAAAAACATTCCTGGGTGTGTCAAAACGTACTCAAAAAGTAAAAGAGGCGGCGAGGTTAGTGACAGCTGTTGCCTTGTTCTATGCATGCTGAGTCCCGGACAACACGTCCATCACCGCTGACTCCTGGGTAGATAGGGATTGTGAGAGTTTATTCAGTCCCTTCTCTGCCTTGAGGACCACCCTTCAACCATTCAGTTCATCCATCAAGCATTCAGCATCTCATTGTGTCTATTGTGTGCCAGGCTCTGTGCTAGGGGCACACAGGTTATAAGAGATGGCCCCCAGCCTACTCAAGAAACAGACAGTTCAACAAAGTATAAAGTAATGAGATGCAGACCATAATGGGGCTGTGTGGGATATAGGTGAGACCCAAAGGGGAAGATTTCACAAAGGAATCTAAGTTGTGTTTGAACCAAAGTCAAGAGGACTTCATTAGGTGCCACAAAGAACAAGGCACTTGCACTTTGTGAAGAGACCATGGCAACATACCTTATTCTTGGTTCACAGTTAGTTTGGTGTGGCTGGGACAAAGGTTGCTTAAAGGGAAGTGGCAGGAGCCATACTTAGAGAACAGTGAGATCCAGCCTGGGAAGGGTTTTATAAAGCTAGCTAGGGAGTTTGCTCTGCAGTTAAGGAGGTATTGGAGAACTTGAAGCATGTGAATAGTATTATTGGGTTTGCAAATTAGGTCAATCACTCTGGTGGAGAAGACAGATTAGAGGGAAAACGTCTTCCAACAATTCAGGCTCTGTCTGATTAGTGAGGGTCTTCATTTACCCGCTGTGCTCTCATCAGTCCATGGTAGTATAGTTGTGGCATGTCTGTACCATTGCAGTTGTTGTGTACTGGACCTATCACATGGGATGAGGTATAGGAGATGAGGGGAGAGCTTGAGAGATCATTTGGAGGTACTTTCATCAGGACTTGGTTGTCAAAATGTAGGGGATGAGAGAGGGAGAGAGTTGCAGTTGAATTAGTTATGACTCACAGTGACCCACAGTGTCAGAGTGGAACTGTGCTCCATAAGGTTTTCAATGGCTGATCTTTTGAAGTAGATCTCCTTTGTCGTGGGCATTTCTTCGGAGGTGCCTCTGGATGGAATCTAACCACCACTTTTTCTTCAGCAGCCATTTGCACCACCCCAGGTTCCTAACGTGGCTATTCAGTGTTGCCATTCACTGTGTCTGGAAGTAGACTCTCCATAAAGTTAGCAGCAAAGGACACTCAGCTTCTGCAGATGAAAGATTCCATTGAGGAATCTGAGTTAGGAAGTGGCTAGCACCTGGGGGTGGTACCCAGTTCTCCCAGAAAGAACTCCTGAGAAAAAAGAGCACCTCCCAGGACTCGCATGTATGCCCCATTGGATGCTGCATGGCCTTTTGTCCGCTCCTACCACACATCCCCTCCATGTTCATGCCTTTCACCAGGACACAGGGATCACAGCCTGGGCTCCGGCCCTAATCTGCACTCTGGCTACCTGCCACACATAGAATGGAGGAAGGCAGCTGAGGGACCAACAGGGCACACTCACAAGCCAAGTCACTCAGCATTACTTCCAATCCCAGAAGCGGATAGAGAAGGCATTGTGGGGTCAGGAAACAACCCTAGGCTTGATGTCAGAAGGCCTGGCTGTGAACCCCTGTGTGGTCACTCACTTAACCTCTCTGAAGCCTTTTTATCTTTTTCTTTCTCTGCATAATAATCTTGAGCAGATTCAATAACTACCATGTAGATGACAAATTGATGGGGTTCTTTGCATGCTCAGAGGTGCATGATGAAAGATTAGCGGCTACCAACCATATATGACACATCTTCTAGAGCAACAATTTTTACCAAAAAACTTTGGGATAAGGATATTAAGTAACTCAGTTACTAAGTAGTGCAAAACATCTCTTTTTATTTAACAACCTTTTTGTTTAACGCAAACATAGATTCTTGTTAAGTGCCATAGAGTTGTTCCGACTCATAGCAACGCTGTAGAGGGCTTCCAGGGAGCAGCTGATGGTTTTGAACTGCCGACCTTGTGGTTCTCTGTCCAGTGCTGATCCACAGCACCACACCAGAAGTCCATGTAAATATTTCATGTGATTTTAATATGGTGCTTGTAATTGGACATTTCAGGCTTTGCTCTCAAGTACCTATCCACATCCTTCTTCTCTTAGGAGTTCCCTGATAGAAATTTGTAAGAAATGCTGTAGGAGAAAGTTAAGCTGAAGCTCATGTCCCCAGATATTAGTGTCATGTATCAGCTGCTGTCACTCAGTCACATGTTATACTTACACACATGTCTCCATGGGTTTCCCATGTTTCTAGGCTACCCTGGCCAGTACTCACTATTATCTTTCAGACATTTTTGTCTAACATAATTTCCTTCTAGGGTGTTCGTCAACCTTGGTTGCACATTATTATCACGTGGAGCACTTTTAAACATGCCACTCATGGGTCCCACCCCCAGACTATAATGTATTTGGCTTGGAATATGGGCTGGACTTAAAGACTCTTATCTGCTCCCCAGGTGATTTTACTGCTCAACCTAGTCTGAGAGCCCTTGGCCCGTAGAAGACAGGAAGAGAAGGGAGTTAACCTCAGTGGACATCTTCAAAGGGCAGAAACTATTCCAGCAAGGTCCCCCAAATTGGGACTTCTTAGGCCAAGTTTTGCAGAGGAGGGATATGAGACTCAGAGAGGTTTTCAGGACCTGGAGAAAGGTCTCCCCACTGCCAAGTGAAAGAGTAGTGACTGACCAGTTTTGTCTCCAACCCAAACCTCCGGCATCTCCCTGCACCGTGCTGCCTTCCAGGAGAGGGCACACTCAAGCACATCACTCTTCAAGGAGTTCTGCAGAACAGACAGATGGACTGCCAGACAAGATGCTGTTTAAAGGCTTGCCTGCCAGGGAGAACGAGCTACTCAAAACCATGCACAGTGGTTTTTTGTCTGCCTTGATATGCCTGGTGGTGGTTAGGCAGGGAGGGACCATGTCAGTGCATTTCAGCAAAGTGACCCAACATCCAGTAAACCTCTCCACTAACCAGGATACCACCAACCTCTGGCCTGCCTGCTCCCTGTGTTCCTCCCAGGTCCTCCTCAGCCCAGGGCCCTGGGGCGTGGTTCTGGGCCTTCCCTGTACCCTTCCCTTCCTCCCGCAGGTGATGCAGCACGCGTGGGTGGAAGGGAACTCCTCCGTCAAGTGTGACCGGTGCCACAAAAGTATCAAGTGCTACCAGAGTGTCACCGCGCGGCACTGCGTGTGGTGCCGGATGACGGTGGGTTGGTGCCCAGGGCAGCCCTGGTTCATTTCAGTGTGGTTTTTGCTCAAGTTGCATCAAGAAAGCAGTGGGCATCCTGCCAGAGGGCATAAGTGGAGCCAGGGGAGCAAAACTGGGGAGGGCCCCAGAGGCCCCTTTCAATGCCCTGAGTGTAACAGTGCCTCCAACAAACTGCCAAGCTGCCCTGAGTGTGGGCACCCCCAAAACCAGGGCAGCAAAAACTGCTTAAGAAGAAGTGGCCAGCCTGCTGTGTATGTGGCAGGGCAGCAGGTTGGACCAAGAGCTTCCTTCCTCTGGGGCCTGGGGCACTGGCAGAGAGGGAGAGGAATTAGACACCAAGAGAGGAAGGGCACCTGCCCAAAGGCACATTCCTTAGAGAAACCCCACTGCCTTGGCCAGAGGCTCAGACCTGCTGCCACCAGCCACAGCCACAGCCAGTGGCCATGTCCCCTCTGAAAACCTGGAGCTGCCCAATCTTATTGCCAAAGCAAACTCAGTGCCCTGGCTTGCCCCTTTAAGCGGTTATCAGCCTCAAAAAGTTTTCTGCAAACTAGACTGTAGACCTCTCAAAGTGCAAAGGTTGAGTCATGGGATTTACTGCCATCCCTTACAAGTTCCTGAAAACCTCCTTTCTTCCAGAGTTTCAGAAATGGGGGAGGTCATATCTCCAAGAGGGGCTCCACCATCTACATGGGGTGCCATCCACTTGGAGTGCCGCAGGCCTGCTGGTGACTAATAACACTTTGGTCACATACACGCACACTCGGCCATACTACTAAAGCCAGCAATGCATCAGGATTGGGGAACGTATTAGGCAGTTTGGCTCTCCAGTAAACCTCTAAGCACTCATACTGACATTTCCTTGTTCACTTTGCTCACTCTTGTCTTCACTCTTTCCCCCAGTTTCACCGCAAATGTGAACTATCCACATTGTGTGATGGTGGGGAACTCAGAGACCATATTTTGCTGCCTACCTCGATATGCCCCGTCACCCGGGTAAGTAAATGTTCCCACCTCCACCAGGTCCTGGTTTCTCCCCGTTCACATTTCAGGTGTAGATAGTATTCAATATTCATTTCCCTCAGAGGGCTGCCCCAGACAACTTTTGTTATTGGGGTTGTTGTAGTTTAGTAAGTGCTGTTGAGTCAGTTCTGGCTCATAACACCCCAGACAACTCTTAGGGGGTTGCATTTTATATAACAAACGTTGTAAGAGGTCAGTACTGCACCAAAAGGCCTCTGACGACACTGGTCCCTAGTGCCAGGCACCAGGGCAATGCATCCTTTCTAGCGCAGGTCAAGGAAGCCATCTTCCCGCACATGGACAGGTGCCCTCACACTTGTTAACCATTCTGCTCTGTCAGTCATGGATCTCCCTCTGCCTTGAGAATTTCCACTTGGGTGTCTTGGCCCCATTAGGAAATGAAATTAAACTTTTAAAAAATTTTTATCCCCACCTAAAATTTTCTCTTGTTCCTGTGTTGAAAAGACTCCACTTTCAAACTATGCACCAACCAATTGAACTGTTCTCCTCCTCAGATTTTAAAGTTGTTGCCAGGTCCCACTGATTCCTTACATCTTACCAACTTTGGGTTACACACTGGGCTGCTTATTGTAAGGTCAGCAGTTTGAATCCACCTGCGGCTCCTCAAGAGGAGATGAAGCTTTCTGCGCCCATAAGGATTTACAGCCTTGGAAACCCTATACATGGTCACAATGAGTCGGAACCAAGTTGACGGCACACCACCACCACCATGGATTTGGCCAGCTGTTCTTTCCTCATGAAAAAAACCTAAAGAAAACCATTTGGCAGTTTTTACTAAGTTTAAAATACACAAACTCTTGTTTTTGTTAGGTGCCATTGAGCCAGTTCCAACTCATAACTACCCTATGTAAAACAAAACAAAACACTGCTTGGTCCTGTACCCTCCTCACATCAATGTTGTGTTTGAGCCCATTGGTACAGCCAACATGCCAATCCATCTCTTTAAGAATCTTCCTTTTTTTCAATTTCAATGACACTCTACTTTTCTAAGCATTATGTCCTTCTCCAGAGACAGGTCCCTCCTTATAGCATGTCCAAAATATGTGAGATGTAGTCTCACCATCTTTGCTTCTATGAAGTATTCTGGCTCTACTTCTTCCAACACAGATTTGTTCATTCTTCTGGCAGACCATGGTGTGTATTCATATATTCAACATGTTTCACCAATGCCGTAATTCAAATGTATCCAATCTTCTTCTATGACCCAATAATTCCCCTCCTGCGTACATACCTGAGAAATAAGAGTATTTATTACACCAAAAGATAGATACAAAAATGTTCACAGCAACTTTATTCATAATAATAAAAAATGGTGAAGATGTCCTCTAATTGGAAATAGGTATATAAATTGAGCTGTATTCATATATATCCTGGTGTGGTGCTACAAGTTAATACACTGGACGTTAAGGTCAGTTTGAACCACAAGTTGGCAGTCAAGCTCACCAGCTGCTCTTCAGAAACCCTATACAGGGTCGCTATGGGTCGGAACCGACTCAACGGCACTTAACAACAACAATATATTCATATACTGGAATACTGTTTTACATTGAAAAAGACCAAACTATGCTAGAAATAAAAATATGAAGAATCTCAAAAACTATGTTGAGCCAAAGAAGTTAGACTCAAAAGAAGTCATGTTTTATGATTCCGTCCATGTGAAATTCAAAAAGCAAGCAGGCAGTGCCAATATGATGTCAAGAGTCAGCTGAGGCTGTGTTTGAAAAGGTAGTAGTTACAAGGGCATTTGTATCTATGAAAACTCATTTAGCTGTGCACTTAAGATTTGAGCATTTTACTATATGGAAGTTGAACCTCAATAAAATAAATAATAAACATTGGGCATGAAGAGAAAAACTAAACTAAAAGAAATTACTTGTTCAATATCACATTTTAGTGCTGAACAAAGAAACCAAGTCTAAGACCTTCCTTCTTGAAGCGCCACTTCTAAGTCAATAACTTAGATTTCTGCTAATATCAGTATTTCTGCAACACCTCCATCCCCCTTCCTGCCCCATGTCTCTTGCCAGTGTCCCAAAGTTAAAGTTAGAACAAGTAGTAACATATCTGGAGAACCCTGGAAAACCCATAGAGAAACATTCCTGTTTTTCATTCCAACAAGTCCCCCCTTTGGAAAGCTCTTCTCCATATTAAAGTGACCCAATTTTGTTTCTTATCTCTTGGTTTAGTAGTTGTTATTGTGAAGTGTTATTGAGTCTGTCGTGACTCATAGCAATCCTACATAAGATTTCCAAGTAGGGGCTGTTGGGTTTGAATTGCGAACCTTGCAAATAGCAGTCCAGTACTTATCCTACAGCGTCACACCAAGATTCTTGCTTTAATAGTTGTTGTTGTTGCTGTTAGTTATTCGTTTCTCAAAAGATGCTTCTCTCTCCTCTCTCCTCACAGGATAGGCAAGGTGGGAAGACTGAAGGCAGCGCGTCAGCCAAAAGTGAAATTGTGATGCAGGTACTTCCACGAACCTGGAGTCTGAATTGCTCATTATAAGTTGGTCCAGGTGGTGTCAGGAAGGACAGGGTTTGAATTCTAGAACACTTGCTTTCTCATTTGATCAATTGTACCACATAGGAGGACACTTTATTTCCAGCCTCGGGAATTACCTACGCCATAGGCAAGTGATGAGAAGGGAGGTTGTTTGATCCCCATTGCTGCTGATGTGGCTGTTTCGCCGTCTTTAGGAAGAAGTTACATAACAGTTCACTTTGTAAACCTCTTTAAATAATAACAAATGTGTGGCCTAAAAATAGACCATTGTTTTCCAAGATTGTCAAGCTGTCTCCAGAACATGAGCTGCCAAAATGAAACTAAGCAGATCCCAAGTCCTTAATCCTTAAATGTATATTTAAGAAACCATCGGCTTGTTTTATTTTTGACCTTGGGTTCACCAATGAACATATTTTCTTTGTGCTTTCTACAAAGATCTAGGGAATACAGGAAAGATGGTCTTTTGAAGTACAAAGAGTTCTAGAGAAGAAAATAGAGAACTAGGGTTTCCCTTCCCCCCACCCCCACGCCGCACGCCTCTGAGCCTCGGCCTCCTTGTTTGAAAAGGGCCTTATGTTGTCCATCTGAAAGAGGTACTACAAGATTAAATGAAAGCATGCAGATTAACATGCTTTGAAAAAATTAAACATAAGAGACAACGATGGGGGAAACTATAGTATGTGGACAAGCTCTAGACACCTCTGACAGAAAGTCAGGTGACTCACACCAGTGCAGGTACATCAGTGGTTTATAGCTGCCATCTACCTGGCTGTCCTTCTGCTTTGATTGGGCAATGTTCATGCTGTGCAGGTAGTTAAATATTTTCAATATCGCCCCCCAAAGGTAAGGAATTTTACGACTCCTCAATCTCCAAGATGCTTCTGGGTAATCCCTGGACAAATAAAAGAGAATTCTTAGAAAATCATAAAGAATATTGCTGGGTTTTTTCCAACATCATGGCACTGTGTTTGTTGCATTTTTTATTTGAGATCCAAGAAAGCAAGCATTAGAGAGTGAACATGAGACAGAGCTATAATTCTGTAAACTATAAACCAAATCAGTAGTTACTGAGCTCCCCTCTTGTGTCTGTTGCTGTGGTGTCCTTGTAGGAGGGTTAAATACACATTCCTGTCCCTCTCATGAAGCATTTAATACTCAGTTGACGTTTTGAGATGTTTTCCCAAGAAGATAAAGCAAAAGAAATAAATATCAACAATAACAACACCACCAAAAGAAGATATTACAGGTTTCAAGCACAAAATTTTTGGGTACTATAATCAAGGAAAACTTCATAGAGGAAGTTGCTCTTGATCTGGACCCTGAAAGATGAAGTTTTGGAGAGAATGTAAAGAAGGAACTGGGCATTTCCAGTTACTAAGCAGAAGAAAACAGGATGAGCAGAGCCATGGGGTGGGGATGGCCAACACAGGCTCACTGGAGGAAAATAGAGCATGCGTTGGCTGGAGTAGTGGCTGAGAGTTAGGAAAAATGGTGGGACGTAGTGAGGTAAACTGGAAGGCCTTGAATGCTCAGTTAGGAGACTTGGATTTGATCTTCTGAACAGTGAGGTTCCACGAAAGGTTTCTCATCACGGTGCTATGATTGATGTAGTGTACCGGAAGGACCTGCATAGGACAGTATGCAGGACGGATCAGGGGTGTGAAAGGCCTGAGCAGGATAGGAACTATAGAGAGCTGCCTGAGAGAAAAGGACATGCCATGGAAAGAAATGCTAAGAACAAGAATCCATAGCTAATTAGATAAATAATACTACCTTTAATAGAACTAGGAAGCCCCAAGAGAAGGCCTGTTGAATGGGAAAAAAAGAGGTCCGGTTCAGAACATGCTGTATTATGGCAAGACATCCTGTTGAATCAGGACAGTGAAAAATATGCAGTCCGGGCTCAGGAGGATAATTGGGACTAGAAATGCAGATTTGGAAAGCACTGTACTAGAAGTGGTGTTTAACTCTATGTTGTTCTTGTTGTTGTTAAGTGCCAGTAAGTCAGTTCTGACTCATAGTAACCCTGTACAGGGTTTCCAAGGAGTGGCTGGTGGGTTTGAACCACAAACCTTGTTGTTATCAGTCCTGTGCTTATCCTACAGTGCCACACCAGGACTCCGTAGTTTATTTATTTACACTTACATGGCCCAGAGAGTCATACTTCCAAAGATTATATTCAGTTGAATCCCTTGTAAAATCTAACACTGTACTGTGGACTCAGCTGCACACCATTGTTGAAGAATTTGAGCGACGGGTACCATTGCATTGCTGCCTTTCTGGTCTCGTCCTAAAGCCCCTGTCACTTGCTAACACTACCTAAAGGCCACTCAAGCTGGAGACACTCAGTTTAGCCACTCAGAGAATTAGCCAGTGAAGAAAGACCGACCTCCTGCACCTCCTCTGCTGCCCACCCACCTCTCCCACCTCAGCCTCAAGTCTCATTCACCCCACCCCATTGAATGAAGAACTCATTTCTTTTTCTCTTTTAAAGTATAAGATCATCCCCACCCCGGGTACCCACCCCCTGCTGGTCTTGGTGAACCCCAAGAGTGGAGGGAGACAAGGAGAAAGGTATGTTCTCTTCTTTTACAAAATGGAGAAGCTAAAACAGCCTCGCCTGGACCCTTTCCTCTCCTCAAGTAGAGTGGACTGTAGAGTCAGGCAGACTGCGTCAAGTCCCCCTCTGTGACCTGATCCAAGTAATTTAACCTCCCTATGCCTCGGTTTCCTCCTCTGTAAAATGGGGATAATAGTTTTCCCTCTCCTAAGGTGATTGTTAGGATAAAAAGGTCAAAGTGCTTCCCACCCCCCAGCACCTGCACATGAGTCATCAGTAAGTCCCCCTGGGGTCAAACGCTGTCAGAGATGCCTGTTTCCTGTCTAGCCTCCCAAGTCTTTCCTTGATTGAAGAGATGTGACGGATTCACCTGGTTGGGACCTGCTGGCCAGTCCCCACCCTTGAGAATGTGAGAACCACCCTCATAAACTACTTGGATCAGTGGAGGAAATGCCCACTCTGCAGGGGACCAGAGGCTCTAAGGAAAATGGGAGGGAGGCAGGAGAATGTAGCCAACTGCTACTGCCTCCCTGCCCCGCTCAGCTCTGGAGTAATGGACAGATAGACAACAATGATCTAGAATCTAGGTTAAAAAATCATAATAAATAAGGTTAAAACAACAAGTATGAGGACCCCTACCCCAGTTCAGGTGTCAGGATACCCCTCAGAACTGACCAAATTAGTCTCAAAATGAAGTCTTGAAATCAAGCCTGCATGTGCTCTCTGCCCCTCAGCCCTCCCCAGCCCCATTCTAACCCACCTAGTATTTCCTCCTACCCCCCCCCCCAGTGTGGAGGGCCTTTCCCTAGGGGTTCTCTTGATGCCTTTATTTATAGTCCACAAAGGACAGAATTGCCCTACCTGGAACATAAGGAACCCTTGGGTGTCTGTGGAGAAAAAAGATTTAGCAGAATGGAGATTCTGCTCTTTGAGCTTCTCTGCCCTGTCCTTCTGCATGGCATGACTGATATCCTGGTGGTTGGAGTTTAGAGTCCTGGGGCAATGGGGAGACCTTGGACCAGGGAATGAGGACATGGATGATGCCAGGTGCATCGGGGAGTTTGGGATCTGCAGGACCCATGAGCAGCTTCTCCCCATATGGGTTGAAATGGCTCCGAATTTCCACTGTGGGTGGGCTCCCCAGGTCTTTGCCCTGCTATAGCTTCTCACAGTGACATTCTCCTTTTCTTTCTTTCTCTCCCTTTTTTTTTTTTCTCCCCCATAGAATTCTTCGGAAATTTCACTATCTACTCAACCCAAAACAAGTTTTCAACCTGGAGAGTGGGGGGCCTATTCCAGGGTATGGAAATGACAATGGTTACCTGCTAATTTATTTATTTCTTTGTTTGTTTTTCTTCCATTGTTATCTTAAAAAGCTATATTCTTTTATCATTAATCCTTCCTGCCATTTATTTTCTCTTCTCTCTTTCTGTCTTTTTTTTTTTCCTCTCACATTCTACTCCAGCTTTCTTCTGGAGATACTCATGCATAAACACCCATCATGGCTAACTCTGATTGGGCAGTGGCCTCCTGTACTTTGTCCCAGAAAAGAAATCGTTGATCTTATAAGAGAAATTACACAAATGTCATTCATCTGGTTGGCTGGAGAACAGGCTGCTAGATTGTTTTCACTTATTTGCAAGGCTGTGTTAGCTGGGTATCTTCATACTGAATTACCAGGCAGGAGGAAATTTACCACTGTCAGTCAGCAGTTTGGAAATTTTTATAAATGACTCAGAGGGTTCCCATGTTTTCTGTTACATGTAGCAATTTAGGATCAAGATGCTTTCTTCCCCCCTGGGTTATCTAAATTGGAAGTTATATTCTCCTTGGCCTTCAGCTTCTACCATTAGTCTGTTGGCTACTTCACTGCTCATTGTTGTTGTTGTTAAGTGCCATGGAGTCTAAGGTTTCCAAGGAGTGGCTGGTGAATTTGAAACGTCGACCTTGCAGTTCAAACCGATCTTGTAGTCCAGTGGATTATCCTACAGTGCCATACCAGGACTCCAGAGGGTTAGAGAAATAATAGTAAAGGGAGATAAGGTAGCTTTTGCAGCTTGTCTGCAGTCTTGGTAAAAGTCTAATGGGAAGAGCAGGTCCTTGTGTTAGCAGCCAAATGATGAGCTACAGTTTCTGTAATCCAAGGTTCCTCCAGCGAGGCCGGGGCACTAGCGACATCTGCTGGCCAACTCTAGAGATGCACCTTGTCCCATGCACATGCTGGGCTGGGTTTTCCCAGCCCAACCTCATAACCTGACATTTCTACCCTGGATTTAGCAATACTCCTGAAAGGAGCACAATTAAAGGCCCATAAAGGGAATCTGTCGCTGACCTCAGTTATCTGCCATAAGCAGTTATTTATGGCAATGGCAGTGTGAAACCCAGTTAAAGGGAGAAGGAAACATGAATGCATGTTTTACATAAAACTAATTTCAAAACAGTCCATCTGTCCTATCCAATTGTGGTTGCCAGCACAGTCACTGTAATCGCCAATTCCTGCTATACACACAGCTTGAAAATACGTTTGCCAGCCCACTCTCCTTGAGGGTATTTTCATATCAAAGACCAAACCTAACTAGCCACTGATAGAATCCAATTATAACAACCTCATGTGTGTTAGAGAAGAACTGTGCTTCAGACGGTTTTCAGTGGCTGCTTTTTCCAGAAGTAGCTCACCAACCTTTCCTCCCAGGTGCCTCTGGGTGGACTTGAACTGCCAGCTTTGGGGTTAGCAGTAGAGTATATTAATGATTTGCATCACATTAGTTTGGTCCTGGGTGACATGCCAGGTGGCTACTTCCCAGGGCTGATATGCCCTTAGTACCTCTGGTGTGAAGGACAGTCAATAAGGGAGTGCTTCCCCTCAAAACGTCTACAAGAGAAGAGAGGGAATGTTGCTTGCTGGCACAGGTATCAAGGGTCAGAGAGCCAGGGAGTTTTGTCAAAGCAGGCATGAGGCAAAGATTGAGCTTCAACTCACAAGTCCTACCCCAATGTAGTCACAAATCACCTGTGTTTTAAAACAAATGCTCTAAACCTCTTTTTGTGCCAGGAGCTCCTTGGGCAGGCTGGTGAAGCCTACAGACTCCTCAGAATAGTTTATTTGTTTTTTTAAGTGTATAAAATGAAACAGGATTAGCAAGGAAATTACTTATGCTGAAAAATAGTTATCAAAATGTTAAAAAAAAAAAGTTGGAATATGTCCTTTACTTGCACATTAAATAATGAGATCCAGAAATGGGGCTAATCCAAGCCAAAGTCAATTCTGACTCATAGCAACCCAATAGAGGGTTTCTGAGACTATAAATCTTTATGGGAACAGACAGCCCCATCTTTCTCCCACAGAACAACTGGTGAGTTTGAACCACCAAACTTGCCCACAATGCCATCAGGCTCCTTATGGAATGAATGTGGTTGCTGTTGTCAAATGCCATCGAGTCAGTTCCAACCCATAGTGACCCTGGGTTTACAATTTCTGAGGAGCAGCTGGTGAGCTTGAACTGCCGACCTTGCAGTCCAGTGCATTAACCCACGGCGCCACACCAGGACTCCATATAGGATTAATAGCTGCTGTAAATTCACAGTATTGATGAGCATGAACAATGTGATAAACTATCTGCCATAACGATAGGAAAATTAAAAAATACCTTTGATTTCAACTGCTGACAGAGTCACAGGTATTACTAATACCTGTGTGACTTATTGTCTGCATTCATAAAGGAAGGAAATGCTAAATTACAGTCAGAGGCTAGGGAAAATAAGAATGGGATGGGGTTTTTTTCCCTTCCAAATTCATGGTCTTCTGATTTGTATTGACAGGCCCTTTGGGGGTCCATGGTTAAGAGCCCTGCTCTAAAGGTTTAAAGCTTCACAGGGCAGCAGCTCTGGGCCCACATGAATGGGGTGAAGACCGGGCAGTTGAATGTGTCTCACTAAAGGAGAAGCTGTAAGAACAGAGCTTGGAAACTCGAGAGGAAGTCTGACGTTGGCAGTTCATTGTACCAGTGCCAAAATGTGCAAACCATGCATTCCTCTACACAAATAGTAGAGAGCTCCTAGAACATCATTTTCTGTTTGTGTTCATGATGAGTCAGCTTCTCCTTTTACAAGGACTGCTCCCTAGAACGCCTTTCTGTAGTGAGTTCTGGTGTTGGAACATTGAGTGACCCCCTCAACTCCTAAAGGACCCAAGGTCCCATCACTCACAGGGAGCAGAGGGGACTGACCTAACAAGTATCAAATGTCAGCCACAACTCAGTAAGCAAGACATTTTGGTCTTTCTTCTACTTCCCAGATTGAACTTTTTCCATGATACTCCAGACTTCCGTGTTCTGGCCTGTGGCGGAGATGGGACAGTTGGCTGGATTTTGGATTGCATTGGTAAGAATGGGTTGGGAGGGCCCTTATGGTTTATTTATAGTAAGCATACAAAGCCAACAAGAGGCAATTAGAAAAAGAGAGAGAGAGAAACGGAACTATGTCGCATTTATCCTTGGACCAATGCTTGACTATGTTTGTGCTATTGTTGAAAGTAAAGATACAAAACAATGGAATGTTTCCCACAGCTACAGATGTACTAGTTTAGTTTTAGGCTTTGTCTCAAAAACGTATCTCTTGAAAATAATTCACCAAGGAGATGAAAAGGGATGAATAAAGTTATTGATACTGTCCATGAACGACGCCCAGGAGGAGAACCAGTAGAGGTAGAGTTCTCTGTGTATGAGGAAGGGTTTCTGTACTCTACTGAAGATCAGAGGATACTGTTCTGATATAAATATGTTCCATGCCTTCTTGCAAAACAATTTTTTTTTTCAATGCTTAAAAAAGGTATTTCAAATGGTGGAGTTTGGAGCAGTATCAACCAGGGGCTATCCCAGGGGGAAAAGACCAAGACTGGGATTCTAGGCAGGTCCCTGGTGTTGGATAAAGACCAAAGAGCTAAGTGTAACTGCATAGCCCAGGTCAAGTCACCTTGGAGGATTCCTGGAGCCTGAATCCAAAAAGCATATCTAGGAAGTATGCATTGGTACAAAAAAGAAAGACCACACAGGGCTTGTGCTGCATAGGTCTTGATCAAAAGATCCGAGGGAAGGGCACAGACTGGTTTTCTGTCAGCCTGGGTTTTCTAGTCCAGCTCTGTTTGGATCTGTAGGTTCTTAGGCGTATCACTCCCCTCTAAATTGACTGTGAAATTCTAGGACGAAAAGGATATATATTCAAGATCTAGCCCTGAAGGGCCCAGACAAATACTGTGGATCAGACAGACAGACAGGAAAGCAGCCAAAGGATGATATGGGAGGATGGTCATCCATGTTAGTAACTCAGCCCAAAGAGATGGGCCCTGGACCACTCTGGTCTTTCCATTATTTGTCCCACAAGTGCTGCCTCTGCACCTCTAAGTGTGAAGCTTTCTTGCAGTCACTGGAGGTACAGCAAGAAGCAAAACAGACCAGGGTCCTGCCTTTGGGGCATGTACCATCTAGAAGGCAGAGGTGGGCACTAAGAAAAGAAAGATGTAAAATGATGGTTTGTCAGATGATGATATGAACCTAGCAAGCAAGGGGCCAAGGGAGCTCCTGAGGTGCTGGAGGGGTGGGTTGCTATCTCAATTGGACTGGTCAGGCAAGACCTTGCAGAGAAGATGACCTGACACCTGACCCAAAAGAGGCAAGAGCCATGTGGCTACCAAAGGGGAAAGCATTCCAGGCAGAAGGAACATCAAGTACAAAGACCCAGAGCTGGAAACAGGCCTGGCCTGTAAAGACTGAAGGAGACCAGTGTAGCCTTCAGTCACACTGTGTGCATGAGTAGCAGAGGATGTAGTCATTAGGACCTGCAGTACATCCAAAGGACTATGACTTTTTTACTGGGAAGTTTTAAGGCATGGAAGGCTTTGAGCAAAGGAGGGACATAACAGATGAGAGAGACAAGGGCAGACCAGGGGTACTAGTTAAGGGTCAGTTCCTGGACAGTTTACTAACTCAGTTGCTAACCCAAAGGTTGGAGGTTCAAGATCACCCAAGGCAACTAGGAAGGAAGGGCTGGCAATCTATTTCCAAGAAATTGACTTGTATAAACCCTATGGTTCATACTTCTACTCTGACACACCTAGGGTCACTGTGAGTTGTTAATAATCCATGTGAGAGATAACCTTGACCTGGATCAGGGGGAAACAGAGGAAGTGGGGAGAAGTGGTCAGATCCTAGATCTCTGTAAAAGACTGAGCCAGTAGGTCTGTAGATGGATTGGATGTGAGCAATGAGAAGAAGAGAAGAGCTGAGGATGGGCCAGGTCTAGACCCTGAATATAGGCAGGGTGGGGAGAAGGCTTCAGAGACAGGCACACCTGCCTCCTTCTGCTCCCACAGGTGCTTTGGTTTCCATGGACACGGCTCTGCCATTCAGTCAGCCACACACTCCTGCTCTGGGAGAAGTTCTCTGGGTGCCCAGGAAGGAAGAGCTGATGAGCAAAGGGATGGCTGCAGTATCTGGAAACACCGTCATGTCCCATCTCCTTCATGAAGACCAGGGAAGGGGAAGGAAAGCTGTGGTGAAAAATATGCTATAAAATTCATCTGCGGAGGAGAAAGAAAGAAAGAGAGAGGGAGAAAGAAAGGAAGCCATATGAGAAAGAAGATATGCTAGTTTTTCACAAGTTAATGACTCAAAGGGTAAAAACCACAGTGAAATGAATAACGTTCATTCATTCAATGAATATTGAGCACTTGTTCAGTGCTCTTTGCCACCCCATTTTGTTCCCTTTCTGTTCTGTTTTCCCCTTACAGCCAGAGTGATCTTTTCTGAATGTCAGAGGGTTTCCTGTTGTTCTTAGGATTAAAAACAAAGATCTTTCAAGTCACCTGTGGGGTCGTGGGCTGTAGAGCCTCTGTCTACCTCTCCAGCCTCATTCCATACCTCCATGCTTCACCCTCTGGACTCTAGCCACCCCATCTCCTTCCTCAGACCTGTGAGCATATCAGTGTCCCTTCATCACAGAGCCTTTGCATGAACTGTTCCTGATGCTGAAATGCTCACCAAGCCTTTGCTTGATCAGCCTTTACTTCATATCACAACTAAAAACATGGCTCCCTTAGGGGAGCCTCCTCTGACACACACACACCCCAGTTGTAATCATCTTATGAATTTGAAATTATGCATTTACATGAAGATCTCATAAACATGCTTCTCTCACTGAACCATAAGCACCATGAGATCCTGGGTCGTGGCTTTTTTGCAAGTGTTAGAGCCCTAGCACCTAGCTCAGCATCTCATATGTAGTAAATGAATGAATGAAAGAAAAGAGAGTCAGGGACTGTCTCAGGCAGTGGAGATGCTGTAAGAACTATGAGACACAGTTCTCCCCAGGGAGACTGTAGTCCATTCAGGGAACAAACAAGGAAACAATTACAAGAGAGTGTAATGAGGTCGTTCCTGTTATTAAGGAAACCCTCTGAAGAGGTACTTGGGCCAATCAGGGAGTGTTTCTCAAAGGTGACATCTGAGCTGAGCAACAAAGTGCTTTCTATTTAAAGAAACTGAAAAACTGCTAGCATGTTTGGCATGTTGAGTTAGAGGTAGGAGAGTAGAAGATGCTAGATCCTGCAGAGTCCACTATTCTGTGTGGAGTCACTGGGGAACCACAGCAGAAGTGAAAGCAGAGGACTAACTTAATCAGACTTGTGGTTATGGGAGGATGACTCTCATTGGTGGAAGTGTAAGGACACACTAGGAGAAGAGAACTGGAGGCTGAGAGATCAGAGAGAAGAGTGTTACTGAAATTCCAGTGGAAAGGAGTCATGCCTGAACACAGACCTGGTCATGGGAATGGAGAGAAGAGATGCTTGGAGAGCTATAAAGGAGTCAGCACACAGACGTGGAAGGAGAAAGAAGCTGGGATGCTGTCCAGGCTTCTAGGCTCAACACTGTGAGGATGGTAAAGTGGTAGAGTCACCAACTGACATGGAGACCTCAGAAGAAGGATCAGACAAAGGGAACAGCATGTGCAAAGGCACAGGGGCACAAACCAAATGTTCTGAACAATGAGCAATCTCTACTCTCCTGGTGGTGATCTTGGCCCTGACTCTTGCCTGAGCTCAGAGACTTCCAGTATGGATCAAGCAACCTGTGTTACCTATGAACTCCTGCTTTGCTTGTGTTGTCCCAGCATGAACCTCACCTGTTGATTCCTGCATTGTTCCCTTGGCCATCTTAATGCTCTACACCAAGGTGACTGTGGACACCGTTGGTGCTTAATGAGGAAGGCCTATGCCTTCCTCAGCAACTGCTGTAGATCTCAACTCTGGCGCCAGATCAGAACACACATGTTCTGCTGATCCTTCTCATTTCTCTGATGATTCGGTCTTATGCTCCTTCAAAACTGTCATCAGAGGGAAGCAAGTCCAAGTGGTGGAAGTGGCAAACTGGTACCTAAGAGTCACATAACACCTGGAGATTTTCCTTGTTTGATAACAATGTTGTCTTTAAGCTTTTCAATCTGGATGAGCTTAGTTGAGCGATTTTCATTTTCTAAATGCCACACCACTCACTAATATCCCAGCTCTGCCATTTCATTCATCTACGCATCGGCCCAGTCCTGGAAAGAAGAGGAAAGTGAACTTGGAGCCACATAGATCTGGGTGTGGATCCTGACTCTGGAATCACTTTCCTCCTCTGAACCTCAGTTTCTTCATCTCTGAGAGAAGGAAGATAATACCTTGGGAGAGTTGCTCTAAGGGATAATCTAAGTGCAGGTTGTCATTAAGGATTAAAATTGAGATGTATTCAGGACTGACTGTGAGGGTCAGAAATGTAGAAGTAGATGTTTTTTGACAAAAGGAGGGGAGTGGTTGATTTTGCAGCCCTGGAGCAGAGGTCCCTGGGATCATCAAGTGAGAAGAGCGGGGAGCGTGACCCTACCCAGAGAGGCAGTGACGCCAGGGATGGAGGCAGAGAGGATGATGTGGACAGATGAAGTGGTTAGGGATACTGGACTCAGGGAGGGGGAGGGGCTGTGTGCTGATGGCTGGGAGTGGGGGGGGTGAGGGGGAGAGCAGGCCTGTGGGGTGTATCCTTTGGTTATTTGATGATGCATGGAGGAGATTGTAATCATTGCAATGAAATTAAATATAATAGAATGAATGTAAAACTGATGTTTTCCCATATAAACCCAAATAATTCACAATAAAAACTTAAAAAAAAAAATTTGAGATATATGCTGTCACCTCAAAGGACAGAGTAAGAATGACATTAGAACAAAGAGGTACAAGTTACAGGGAGACAGATTTGGCTCAATGTAAAAGAATCCTTTGTAGTGGTTAACATTCTGAAAATGGAATGTATGGCTTTAGGAAGTACTGTGTTCATCATCGCGAGAGGTATTCAAGCAAAGAATGCTATGGAGGGGTTCAAGCATCATATCAGGGATAACAAGATAACTGGAACATTCTGTAATCCATGGCATATGGTTCTCTCCTCCTCCAAATGGGTTGCAGATAAGGCTAACTTGGCAAAGCATCCACCTGTGGCTGTCCTGCCTCTTGGAACAGGAAATGACCTTGCCCGCTGTCTCCGCTGGGGAGGAGGTGAGTACATGCTGACTGCTCTGCTCTGGGAACAAGCAGTCTAATGTCCAGGGATGCTCTACAGAGTGAGGCCGAGTTTACCCTTTCATGGTTCTAATTCCACTCTACTCTGAGTCACATCAATTCCATGGTCCTATATCTGCCCTCCATCCCATGCCTCCCCTGTGCTCCAAACTTACCACCCTTACTCCACTTACTATCATCCTGAAAATACCAGCTTAGCCTGTCCCCCCTGCTGGAGTAAAGTTAGGATAGTGACCACTCTCACTGATCTGCCTAGTGCACAGTCTGGTAGGTGCTCTCTTAGGTGTTTTCTACATGAAATTGGTGTTAAGTGCTATCGAGTCAGTTTCGACTCACAGCAACCCAGTATACGGTTTCCAAGGAACGGCTGGTGACTCAAACCAACCTTGTGGTCCTGGCTTATCCTACAGCGCCACACCAGGAGACCCCACCCACCCACCCAAATCTTCTGAATGAGGACACAGAATGCAGACCCAAAAACCACATCACCAGTTGCTTACAGTCATGAGGGACATCAGATCATTTCAAGACTTCATGGCTGTGGACCCCTATTTTGAAACTCCTGTCTGCTTGAGGAGAACCCAACCCAAACCCACAGCCACTGAATCAATTCTGACTCATAATGACACTGGAGGACAGAGTAACACCACCCCCATAGGATCTCTGAGACTTTAAATCTTTACAAAAGCAGACTGCCTCGTCTTTTTTCTGAGAAATTGCTGGTGGGTTTGAACTGCTATCCAATGCTTAACCCACTGTGCCACCAGGATTCCTGTCCTAGGGGGAGGAGAACTGGACAAACTACAGCAGTGCTGTGGCCTCAGCATGTCACTGAGAGTAGAGACAATGAGGTCAGCAGGTGGAGGTGGCAGATGCATCTGGCAGGCAGAAGAGGAATGGGGGACTTCAGACTGCCAATCAATTCAGTGTGCGATTGAAGACCAGGTAGGGTAGGTGTCAGTATTCAGAAATAGTGGGAAGGCATAGAACAAAGAGGAATTGACCCTAGAAGGAAGTTGTCAGGCCTGGAAAAAGCCACCAGGGTCATCAGCCTCACATTAAGGCCTGGGCAGAGACTCCTCTTTAAGAGTTGGCTCCAGCTCACAGGTATCCCAAGTACAACAAAATGAAACATAGCCTGGGCCTGCACCATCTTCACTGTTGTTAAGTGCTGTTGAGTCAGTTCTGACTCATAGCCACCCTGTATTGGGTTTCCAAGGAGTAGCTGGTGAGCTTGAACCGCCAACCTTGCAATTCAAACCGACCTTGCAGTCCAGCGCATTAATCCACAGTGCCACACCAGGACTCTGCACAATCTTTTGTCATGGTCACAAATCCATTGTCATGGCCATAGAGATGCTTATCCTCCATATCTGTATTAGACTATATTCTGTTGAGATCCATACAGTTTTCATGCCTAATTTTTAGAAGTAGATTACCAGGCCTTTTTCCAACTCCACCATAGTCTGAGGTTCTGCTGAGACTTGTCCACTATGAATGACCCTGATGGTATTTGAAATATCATGATAGCTTCCAGGATCATCACATTATGCAAGTCACCAGAGTGTGACAAATTTACAGACGAATGGTGACTAGGCAGCACAAATTTTGGACAGGACAGCCAGTATTGTGCTCACAGACAGCCTCAAGGCCATCAGCTACACGGTTACTCTATTTTTTTCCTAGGGCTGCCCTAACATAATCCCACACCTGGAGTGGCTTATAAGAACAGATATTTAATGTATCATAGTTCGAGAGGTTAGAAGTCAAAATCAGCAGGTTGACTGGGCCAACCTACTCCATCCTCAGGTCTCTAGGGAAGATTCTTTCTTGTCTCTCTCAGCTTCTGGTCACCCAAGGTGTTCACATGACCATCTTTCCTCTATGTGTCTCTCTCTGTCTCTTCAGTTTATAAAATCACTTTGTTGTTGTTAAGTGCCGTTGAGTCGGTTCCGACCCATAGCGACCCTGTATAGGGTTTCCGTGGAGCAGCTGGTGAGCTTGAACCACCGACACTGCAGTTCAAATGGCTTTGCAGTCTGGCACATTAACCCACAGCGCCACATCAGGACTACCATAAAGACACTAGTCATAATGAATTAGGACCCAGAGTTGGAACCGACTCTACGGGACTTAACAACAACAACAACTACTCCGGGATGACCTCATACTAATTTATAACATCTTCAAAGACCCTGTTTCCAAACAAGCTCACATTCTCCAGTACCAAGGGTTAGGAAGGACTTCAACATATCTTTTGTGAGGAATTCTAATTGCTTGCCAGGTAAGGATTAAGATGAATTCATTTTCCAAAGTGTGGAGAAGCATCCACTCCTCACCTTCCCACTTCTCCCTGCAGATACCAGCTCATCACACAACACAATCACTCCGCTCCTAGCCACCTGGAGCTGAGTCAGAGTTCACAAGTTGGAAGGACATCTCCCTTCAGACTGCCAAATAGTCACCAGCCCCTCCTGCCTCTCACTGCCCTGTGGGTCTGCTAATTCAATAGACCCACAGAATTTGCAAAATTTAACATACTTTGGTGGGTTTGAATTGGCAACCTTGTGATTAACAGTCCAGTGCTTACCCTACAGCAACACAACACAAGTGTAGTATCTGGAAAAGGTCATTAAAATGAAGGCCTAACACATGAGTGGAATCCTGGTGGCACACTATAGGATATGCACTAGACTGCTAAGTAAAAGGTCATCGGTTCAAACCCACCAGCTGCTCCTTGGAAACCCTATACAGAGTTGCTATGAGTTGGAATCAACTCAAAAGCACTTAATAACAACAACAACACTTAAGTAAGCTTGCAGCAATATGCATTGTCCCTGTCCAAACTACTGGTAGATGTCATGGTCACAATACTGCTATACAGAGGCTGTGCTTATTCTCAGATACTTGTTACTGTTGAGAAGTCTCATGTATGAACTGTCATAACTAAAATAATCTACATCTTTTCAAAATATCCCTAAAAGGGATGAACTTAATACCTTTGTGAAAAGTTTCATGAGAACCCTGAAATGAATGGCATCAGCACCCGTCAGTATCATCTTAAAGAGTATCATCAGCAAGTGCAGACAGTCTTTGCTGTCGACTCTCAGTTGCTCAGGATCCCACCATCTGTCATCTGCATGTGTAAGAACAGAAAGATAAACACTGCACAAACCTAAGTGACCGTGTACCTTTTCAATCAAAGCAAAGAATAACTGGAGTCCATACATATTCGGTTTTCCAGTATATCACACTGAAAAGAGTCACAGCTTGTGTCTTATACTGACAACTACCATTTTATTGTAGCCAGAAAGGATGCAAATGAAGAGACAATAGGGTGAGGTCCTTGAGGAGTTCCAGCTCATAGTGTTCATGTCCTGAGGGGATGCAATATAGCAGATAATCTCTAACCAGTCTGGAAGGAAACTCATCTGAGCCTGGGGGTTCAGACTCTTATCAGCTCCCCATGTGTCCTTGTAGATATAAGGTGCCTCCTGAGGCTTAGTCAACACTGGCTCCAGGTGATCCCTCTTGTTCTGGTTGGCCCCTACTCTTTAGCCTCAGGTGTGGTCTGGCTCTCAGGAACCTAGACCAAAGGTGACACTGTTTATTGCCAGGTGAGTCATTACTTCACAGAGGTACAGTGCAATCCATAACAGTTGCTATCTTGTGAGGGAACCAAAGCTGGGATAATTTGAAAGAACATTGCAAGATTGCCCTAATGTGAGCAGAACATAGAAAGAAAAGACTGTCTTTCCCACTAAATTCCAGTTCACTGTCTGTATTCGTTTCTTCCACACCGGCTGTCATTTTTTGATACTGTGGTGGTTCGCATGCTGTTGTGATGCTAGAAGCGATGCCACCAGTATTTCAAATACGAGCAGGGTCATTCATGGTGGGCAGGATTCAGCAGAAGTTTCAGACTAACACAGACTAGGAAGAAAGACTGGGCAATCTACTTCTGAAAAAACACTGGCCAGTGAAAACCTTGTGGATAGCAGTGAATCATGTCTAATATAGTGTGTGAAGTTAAGCCCCTCAGGTTAGAAGGAGCTCAAAATAAGGTCTGGAAAGAACGGCCTTCTCAAAGACTTTAATGAAATGAATATAGTTAAGGCTTTTGGGACCTTCATTTGCTGATGTGGCTTGACTGAAAATGAGAAGCAACAGTTGTAAACATGCATTAGTATAAGACCGTGGTCTGTATGAAGTATTGTTGTTAAGTGCAGTCAAGTTGGTTCCAATTCATAGTGACTCTGTATAGCATTTCCAAGGAGCAGCTGGTGGGTTTGAACTTCTGACCTTGAATCAAGGAAAATTTGAAGTTGACAGAAATTAAATGGAATGCTTGTTGATCAACATCCTCTGCATTAGTAAGCTGATATAGACTGTATTGTCCACTTTGAACTGGATAATCATATGGTCCACTATGCGAGGAATTACAGATTGAAGAGGAATGGTTTCACATCCGTTGTTACAAAGAACATTTCAAGATCCATCCTGAAGTATAATGCTGTCAGTGACAGGATACTATTCATACATGTACATATATATATATATATATATTTTATCTCAAATTTACACACCAACCACTAGCACCAAAGATGAAATTAATTATTTTTACCAACTTCTGCAGTCTGAAATTCATCAAATCTGCAATCGAGATGCACTGATAATTACTGGCAAGTGGAATACAAAAGATGGAAACAAAGAAAAAGGATCTAGTAGTTGGAAAATAAGACCTTGGTGATAAAAACTATACTGGAGATCCCATGATAGAATTTTGCAAATACCTTTTTTCAACAACACAAATGGTTTCGAGGACTATTCTTGAGAATCTCACCAGCTGGAATACATAGGAGTCAAATCAACTGCATCTGTGGAAAGAGACCATAGAGAAGTTTAATATCATCAATCAGAACAAAGGCAGTGGAACAGACCATCAATTATTCATATGCAAGTTCTAGTTGAAATTG